AAGTCATTATATTTAATCATATATGGGACATACAATTAATTCCTATTTATAACCAAATGATGTTTCATTTGTTCCTATTTTTGTATTACAATGTAAATTAATTTCTCCCAGCAACCTCAAAATACCCATTTTAAAGTCTTTGTCAGACTGTTTCATAAAATTAATTTCAGCAAGTTAAAGTTCCATTTGATGGTTTGGTTACATTGGTAGAATGCCTTCAGTTTCAAAAAACAAACAAAATCTGCCTCAGAAGGAAAATGCATTTTCTTGTAAATCATGCTCCCTAGTACCGCAGCTCTATGGTCAATTACCTGGTTCAATAACATCAGGATTTGTTACTTTTTTGAGATACTGCCACACTAAATATGCCAGATTCTTCCATGGCAGCTCTCCAAATGGTTACAAAATGGCTAAAGACTCATAGATATTTCATGCAGATGTAATAACATCCACCAGAACACCACAAACCGTTTCATGTTTATTTTTTAAAATCAATAAGAAAAATCTTTCCCCAATTCCTCAGTTCCCATACACTTCCTTTCCTTTGCGCATAGTTTCCACTATCATTAACATCTTATATTTGGTGTTACACTTGTTAAAACTGATGAATTAATATTGATACATTATTATTAACTAAAGTCCAGTTTACATCAGGATTCATTTTTTTGTATAGTTCTATGGGTTTTAATAAATGCATAATGTTATGTATCCACCAATAGACTTATCATAAAGAATAGTTTCAATGCCCTGAAAATCACCTGTAATCCACCTATTCATCCCACCCCTCCTGCCCTACCCACTAACAATCCCCTAAAACCACAATCAATCATCTTTCAACTGTCTTCATATTTTTGCCTTTTCCAGAACATCAGACAGCTGGAATCATACAGTATGTAGGCTTTTCAGAGGCTTCCCTGGTGGCTCAGAGGTTAAAGCATCTGCCTCCAATGCGGGAGACCCGGGTTCGATCCCTGGGTTGGGAAGATCCCCTGGAGAAGGAAATGGCAACCCACTCCAGTATTCTTGCCTGGAGAATCCCATGGACNCCCACTCCAGTATTCTTGCCTGGAGAATCCTATGGACAGAGGAGCCTGGTAGGCTACAGTTCACGGGGCTGCAAAGAGTTGGACACAACTGAGTGACTTCACTTTTCTTTCACTTGGGAATATGCATTTAAGTTTCCTTCATCCTTTTTGGGGGCTTGACAGTTCATTTGTTTTCATATCTGAATAAGCCATTGTAATCCATTGTCCCATGATTTGTCCATTCAATTACTGAAGAACACCTGGATTGCTTCCAATTTTCGACAATCATGAAAAAGACTGCTAAACTCATTGGTGTGCAAGATTTTGTGTGAATGTAAGTTTTCAACTCATTTGGGTAAATACCAAGAAGCATAATTGGTGGACTGCATAGTAAGAGTATGCTTAGTACATTTTTTCCCAAATGACTGTATTTTGCATTCCCACCAGCAATAAATGAGTTTCTGTTGTTCCACACTGTCAGCATGTGGTCATTCTGATGGGTGTTTAGTGGTATCTCACTGTTTTTCAATTTGCATTTTCTTGATGACATACAATGTGGAAATCTTTTCTTCTTACTTGCTGTTTATCTTGTTTGGACAGGTGTCAGTTTAGACATTTTGCCCTCTTTTTTTTTAATATATATTATAAATGCTCTATTTTTTTTAACACAGAGGAAGCTTGGTAGCAGATCTGTAGCCACTTGATGTTGTTATAACTAATTACAGTTCAGGCTCTCTTATAGAATGTAAAGGTACACTAACATATGTATATGTAATTGTTATGAAAATTAAACTTAGTCACTAAAAGAGGATTCATTATCTGAACTTTCTTCTGTTTTTTTCACCTTCACCATCAGGCACTGGAGCATCTGGCCTCTCAAGAAGATCTGTGTCTAGTCCTTCCGATATCATTTTGTTTCTTATTGCCATCACTGGAACACCCACTTGAACCATTTTGAGATATCTAGCATATCTTGGATCTTTGGCTACAGTTAAGATACTTTCTGGTGTTACTTCACTTTCCTGTGGTCCAGAGTCTTATAAACTGTTCTGCTGTGATTGCTCTGAAGTGGCTTCAGAGTATGTTCCATTTGTGATCCTAGTGACATTTACAGGAGGTACTTCAAATGTGACATCATCTAGGCCCGGGATAGATGATAACTTTGCATCTAAAACATTGGGAGTTGTTTCAATCTGCTGGATACGAAGAGAAAGGTCTGCTAGTTTCTCCTCACAAACTAGAAAAGCGGTTGAGGAACTGTACAGTGTGCACCACAAACTGGCTTAGAAACGCCACCGTTCTTTTCTGTTGAATAACTGGCACCTTAGTCAGGTCTATGCCTGAGCCCATGAGAGGGAGCCCATCCTCATCCATCTCCTCAACAGGTGGGGGACCCAGGGCTCACCCCCAAACCCCTCCCCAGCCCGACCCGCCCAACCCGGTAATCTGCCCTCTTTTTAACTGGGATGTTTGTTCTTATTGTTGAGTTTTCTGTATTTTGGTGAGTTCTATCTTTTATCTTTTTGGTATATGTGTTCTGCAAACATTTTCTACACTTTGTTTTTAACAGAACAAAAATTTTAATTTTAATAAAATCCAGTTTATAAATTTTTTAAGTCTTCACCAAACTCAAAGTCACACTAGATTTTATATTATTTTCTAGAAGTTTTGTAGTTGTGCATTTTATATTTAGGTCTATGATTAATTTTGAGTTAATTTAAAGGTGTAATGTCACTATAGCAGTGCCCAGCTTTCTTTCTTTGCATATGCATGTACAGTTCTATCACCATTTGTTGAAAAAGACAGAGCTTTCTCCATTGGATTGACTTCCCTCTTTGTCAAAGATTAGCTGATCATATTTGTATGGGTCTGCTTCTGAGCTCTCTATTCTGTTGCCGTGATCCATTATCTGATTTTGCACCAACTTCACAATATTGGTTACTACAGATTTACAATGAATCTTAAGGTTGCTGTCAGTTCTTCCACATTGTTCTTCTTCAATATGGCAGATATTCTGGGTCTTTTGTCTTTCCATATAAATTTATTCAACTTCCAGTACAATGCTGAATAGCACTGGTGAGAGGACATATTCTTGCCCTGTTCCTGATCTTAGAGAAAAAGCATTTGGTTTCTCACCACTAAGCATGTTAGCTGTACATTTGCTATAATTTTTTTTAAAAGAATAAGTAATAATGTACAAGATGGTGGATGCTCTTTATCAAGCTAAGGAAGTTGCTATTTCTAGCTTGCTGAGAGCTTTCACTATGAATAGGTATTTGATTTTGTCACATAGCTTTTTAATAACCTACTGGTGTAATTGTATGATTTTTCTATTTTCTATTTTGATAATATGATGGTTTACATTAATTGATATTTGAATGTTGAACCAGTCTTGAATATTTGGAATAAATACCACTTGGCTGTGGTGCATAATTCTTTTAATATATTGTTGAATTTGATTATTTTGTTGAGGATATTTGTGCCTGTGTTCATAAAAGATATCTGTAGTTGCCCTTTCTTAAAAAGTCTTTGGTTCTAGTATTAGGATAATGTAATGTCTGGTTTTGGTATTAGGATAATGCCAGCCTCATAGAAAGAATAAGCTTCTATTTTTTGGAACAGATTGTACAGAACTGTCATCATTTTCTTCTCAAATATTTGACAGAATTCACCAGTGAAACCATTTGGGTCTGATGTTTTCTGTTTTGAAAGTTTAATAATTATTGATTCAATTTCTTTAATATATAGGCTTATGCAAAGTGGCGATTTTTCCTTGTGTGAATTTCAGTAGGTTGTGTCTTCCATAAAATTGGTCCAGTTCATCTAATTTATAACATTTATGAGGACAGTTATTCATAATACTCATTACCCTCTTAATGTTCCTGGGATCCACAGTGATGGCCCCTACATACAAGTTCTCAAAAACTTAAAACATTTTCTCCAACATACTCAAAACCATACACACACACAAAAACAACAGCAAAAAAACCCCTTCAAGGCCTGTAAGCTTAGATGGGGTACAAATCAAGACTAATTCTACTGTAATTTACTTTGTTTATGATTGAGATGAAAAGTGGGCAAAAAACTGTGCTATATAAGAAGGCTGGATTAGCAAATTAAAAAGTAGGATGCAATCATCATAGTTTTCTTTAAAACTTTACACAAGCCCATGCACCCTAGAGCCCATGCTCGGCAAGAAGAGAAGCCACCACAATGAGAAGCCTGTGCACCACAACGAGAGAGGAGCCCTTGCTTGCTGCAACAAGTGAAAGGCCACACAGCAATGAAGACTCAGTACAGTCAAAAGTAATAAATAAATTAAATTATATAAAAAAAATTTTACAAAAGATGCTGTGGTAAAAAGATCCAACTTAATAAATGTGAAATCAAGACTTATCAAATAAATCATCAAATTGTTTACTGCTTTTATCTATTGATTTTTGTAATTCACAACACAGAGAAGTTCACAAACAACAGTATTATCTGCTCTGTAGAAATACTGTCAAACTTATTCTGCCACCACCATTTTCCTTTTTCTAGTAACTTCAAGGAATATTAAGTTGCTCATTCCTCTGAATCTCAACTAGAGTATTCTAGTAAGGTATTTTTGTATGTCAGCTTCCTGAAAAAGAACTTGCAAGTTTTCTAAAATGTAACAGCATTTGTATTTTCTACAAAAGGGACACGGTATACTTGGAAGTTTTTGCCTGTTTTAAGAGAGATTTAGTATTCAAGGTAAATAAACTTGAATAATATAATGCAGTAGAAATCAATTTCAAAAAATAAAAATATACACCAAGTCCACTCTGAAAACTAATGATATAAAAAGTGTTTGGAATTCTCTAGTTATATGTATATACTTATACATATATGTAGTTTAATTATATTGTCACTTATTTAATTATATTGTCACTTATCTACCTATGATAAAGTCTATTTATTAAAATATCATGCCACATCCCCAAAAAAGCTAAAGAATTTTAAATGAGAATTTTATTTACAAAAATGTCACAGAGGATTAAAAAAATTTTATGAACACAATATCATTAGTAATTAACAGAATCAAGAAAGGTTTAATATATATATCACTTGTAATATAATACACATTAAAATAGTTTTCATGCTACCTTTATTCATTATTTTTTAATATTCCAATTTTTAACAAACCTAGAAATATTGTAGTATACATGGAACAGATGTACTATATACTTAAAAATTATGCTACATTATACATTAAGATACTAAGTCAGTTTTTTAACCTCCAGCAAATTATGGCCTTTCACCATAATTTATAAATTTAAAGGATGTAAGCACCAAATAGAACTTGAAATGCATAAAATAAACTGGCATATATTTTAAGAGAAAAACATTACATTAGGAATATAATTAACAAAGAATTTTCCAAAGAATACTGCAGAAGTAAGGTATATTTAAAGTATTATAATGATTAAGTCTAGAATGTTTTTTACTTATTCTTGTCAACTCAGTTGAAAACACAAAGCACTGACTATGAAGCTATCATTTTTAAGTGAATAGTAGATGGCAGCATGAGTCATTTTAAGCATGAAAGGAAAATGGACTATATTATGTGCTTTGGTTAGCAAATAACGCTCTTTATCCAAGTAATTCTCAGTGTTTCCATTACCCTTGAACAACAAGATTCTTTATGTACTGTGTGAAAAAAACACCACCTTTTTACTGATGGAAGGCTTCTAATCTTATTCGGGTTGGATCTTCCGGATGTCTCAAGGCAATTCCATTACGCAGGAGCAGCTCAATATAAGGTGGCCAAAAAGAATCACTAATTTTGACATATGGGTCATGTGGAACACCAAATAATCTATTTAAAAGAATCTAGGAAAAAACATCATTCAAGATATATCTTACTTGGAAAAAAAAATTGATACATATATTAAAAGTTTTTTTCTTAAACCAAAGAATGTTGATCTCTTTTCTCTTTGAATAATTGTTTAATCATAATTTCTATGTATTAAATAGTTGATTCTCTTTTTTAAAAAACTACAAATATTACTGAATGGAAATAGCTTTAAAATGAATCTTTGCCTCTGAATTTTTAAAACATTTCCTAAAAACTTGTTAAAAAGCATTTACAATTCTCCCACTTCTCTAAATATTAATAATTTATGTTAGAAATTTGGTTATAACCATTTCTTCAAATTGAAAAACAAAGTTCAAAAAATTGTACACATCTTAATATTTCAGGGAAATAGAAAACACCAATCTTCCCCCTCCACTCAAAGCCACTTATTCATCTGATAAACCTTCAAAACAAAAATTCTATCATCATTATTTCCTTCAAATTATCTCAAACATCTTTGATCTCTTCACTAAGGATATTGAGAAGTTTTCAATACCTGTAGTAAATTATATAAGACTAACATTTCTTGAACCACATTCCATGAAATTGGTCTCCCTAGCAATACTCTCAGCATGGAGTAACAGGGTTCTGTGGTTAAATAAGCTCAAGAAAGATGCTAATATGCACTGAGAATGATTCATCTTTCCCAGATTCGGGGCATTAGAAAAGTGTTGTGAGAAACACACATTAAATATTTAAACATTAATATTCTATGAGATATAATGAAAAATGTTAAATATGTATCAATTATTACTCTACCTCCTCAGTTCCCACAAAGTGCCTTCAAAAATTACAAAACCAGGATTCATAAGGGTTAAAAGATTCCTCAAGGGGTACATAATTAGTAAAAGATAATAGATTACAACCCATATCTTTGAACTGCCATGCCAAAGTTTTAACTTAAAGATATTATTTTTTTTAAGATATTATTTTAAGAAACACAGAAAAGGAAAAATTAAATTTATATCATAGCAGTAAAGAATCTGCCTGCAATGCAGGAGACATGGGTTCGATCCCTGGGTTGGAAAGATCCCCTGAAGAAGAAAATGGCAACCCACTCCAGTATTCTTGCTGGAAAATTCCATGTACAAAGGAGCCTGCCGGGCTATAGTCCATGGGTCATAAAAGAGTTGGACATGACTTAACAGCTAACAACAGTAAAAGTGTCATAGAAATATAATTAAACTACTAAGTTCTCATCTCAATCACATTTCATGATAATATCAGCACCATAATTTTTGTTTAACATTCCAATTCTTAAAGTAAAATTTCATCTGTCATAAATTTTAGCTAATTCTTCTTCTTTTTTTGGCTGTGACAGTGCAGAATCTCAGTCCCTCAACCAGGGACTGAACATGGACTGTGGCAGTGAAAACCCAGAATGCTAACCACCAGGCCACCAGGGAATTCCCTAATTTTAGTTATTTCAAGAACCACATCCTAGAGAAAAAAGCTGTTGGTCTCATTTATTTTAGGTATGATCATAAGAGAATAAGATATTATTCCCATTTTAGAGCAATTTGCTCAAATTTTAATATAATTTAAAATCTAACTTTTCATTGCTATATAAAATAATATCAATCAAAATCCTACTAAATGCCAGAAATAATTAAATGTTAAAAATCCTACTTTGAAGTGAATATGTATATATTATTTTACTTTTCATTGAACAGCAGTATAAATTTAGTTTACAGTTATCATTGATAATACAAGCCTTGGTATGTAATGGCTCCTAAATCTAAGCTTTATATGGTATCCCATAGTGCACTATTCAAAAATTACACATGTATTTCCAAGTTAACTGTCAATACTTGCCACACATATGACAATCTTTATTTTAAAAAAAATCAAGTCATCCATGAGAAATAGTAGTTTTAGTTTCAGTATAAATTGGAAGCAAACTGGAATATGCTGAAAGATTCAAATTACAATCTAAAAAAATCTGTTGATGGGCATCTAGGTTGCTTCCATGTCCTGGCTATTATAAACAGTGCTGCGATGAACACTGGGGTACACGTGTCTCTTTCAGTTCTGGTTTCCTCGGTATGTATGCCCAGGAGTGGGATTGCTGGGTCATATGGCAGTTCTATTTCCAGTTTTTTAAGGAATCTCCACACTGTTTTCCATAGTGGCTGTACTAGTTTGCATTCCCACCAAGAGTGTAAGAGGGTTCCCTTTTCTCCACACCCTCTCCAGCATTTATTGCTTGTAGACTTTTGGATAGCAGTCATTCTGACTGGCGTGTAATGGTACCTCATTTGCATGAGACAAGTGCTCAGGGCTGGTGCACTGGGAAGACCCAGAGGGATGGGATGGAGAGGGAGGCAGGAGGGGGGATCGGGATGGGGAACACATGTAAATCCATGGCTGATTCATGTCAGTGTATGGCAAAAACCACTACAATATTGTAAGGTAATTAGCCTCCAACTAATAAAAATAAATGGAAAAAATAAAAATAAAAAAATCTGTATTTTGCTTTTCAAAGTAATAATATTCTATATTAAGATATCCTGAGGTATCAAAGGTACATGCTTTCTCTGCCTGACATTTACTTTTTTTTTTTCCCCACAAATATCTTTGACCCTTTAAAAAAGTTTTTGAACTTTGGCCAAATTATCAACTATATTAAATACTTCAGATCTTGATATGACAACCTATTGCAAATTGGGTAAACAGGAAAGTAGAAGTACCATAACCACTTAGCTAAAGACTTTAGTATTCAAAAACACTTAGCTAGATAAATGAAGACTTTAACTAGACAAAGACTTTTCATAAAATTACTATGAAGCAACTTTTCTGAAATCACTTTATTCTAAGCTTATCAATTATTTTAAAAAGTCACATTAATTGTTAAACAGCTCTTCACAGACCATCTACCTTCCTGTTCACCCAATTTGCAATAGGTCGTCATATCAAGATCTAAAGTATTTAATAAAGTTGATAACTTGGCCAAAGTTCAAAAACTTTTTTTAAGGGTCAAAGATATTCCTTAAAAAAAAAAGTAAATGTCAGGCAGAGAAAGTATGTATAGACTACATAACAGCAAAGGATTTCACTGTGTAGATACTAAATAACATCATAAAAATTTTTTTTTCATTTATTTTTATTAGTTGGAGGCTAATCACCTCACAATATTGCAGTGGGTTTTGTCATACATTGACACGAATCAGCCATGGATTTACATGTATTCCCCATCCCAATATAAAAATTTTCTTAAAGTAATAATCTGGAACACAATTAAGGGTAAGATTTTAGTTTCATCTGCTCTTAAAAAATATTCTTTCTTACTACACAGAAAATAGAAACTAATTTTATACTAAAGATAAATTAATATATGTAATAAAATTTGGTGTATACCTTAAAAACTAAAGCAGCCTTTTTTTCTTTTTCAAACCTGAGTATGTGCCTGTACTTAGTCACTCAGTTGCATCCAACTCTTTGCAATCCCCATACACTGTGGCCGGTCAGGCTCCTCTGTCCATGGGAATTTTTCAGGCAAGAATACTGGAGAGGGTTGCCACTTACTCCTCCACGGGATCATCCCTGTTCAGGGATCAAACACTCATACCTTCATTGGCAGGTGGATTCTTTACAACTGAGCCACCTGGGAAGCCCCAAGTTTGTGTATAATTGTCGATAAATCACTAATCAAGACAAATCTTGAAGACAAAACAACTACACAAAACACTTACCTCTAACATTTCATGCAGTGTTATCAGCTGTGCAGTTGATTCTTGAATGTCTTTCTTTGAGGGAAATGTGAATAATAAGGAATTAAAATTTCAGTTCTGACAATGGCAAGCTATTAGACTATTAAAAAATTTTTTAAATCTTTTAAATTAATATCTCTCGATTGCAATGATACAAGATACACTAAAACCAAACATTTAAAATGAGATGACTTTAAAAGAATTCTGTGGGGAGGGAGGTGGGAGGGGGGCTCAGGATGGGGAACACATGTATACCCACGGCAGATTCAAGTCAATGTATGGCAAAAACAATACAATGTTGTAAAGTAAAATAAATAAATTAATTAATTTATATATAAAAAAAGAATTCTGAAAGAAAACAACCTGTTGTACTAAATATTAAGGTTCATAAAAATACAGCTGAAACATTCTCTAAGACAGGGAAATCTTTTGTAATTACTAAAACATACAATTCAGACTACCTACCTACCTATCTATAAATATATAATGGGTAAAGTATATTACACATATTATATATACTCATATAAAGGAAAATCTAATTTTTGAACCACCCCAATCGAAATAGCCAAGCAAATGACATTTTAGACTGAAATGATACAGTTTCAGGACAGAAAACTTGCTTCCTGGGGAGATTTGCTCATCTTTTCACAGTTCTTGATGGTTCCTAATATTAACTCAACTCACTAGTTCTTTTTTTCCTGGAATGACAGAGAATAGATCTCATTCCAGTTCCATTCTAGAGTTTCATTGTATCTAGCTAAGATATGTCTCCTTTATTCTTTAATGTTTTAAACCCAAGAAAGATATTTTATGTACTTCCACTAAATATCGTTCTATTTTATTCAGACTATACTACTTTATCATGGCAATTAAAAAATACAGTTTTAATTTTATCATCCAAAAAATTTACTCTCTAGTCCTCTTCAGTTTCATATCATTTACAAACTTTGATGACTATGTTCTCTACTTCTATCCAAATTACTGCTAAAAATATTCAATAGGATAAGGTTCTATGGGAAATCTTCCAAGACAGTGTACTAAGTGAAACCAGGAGATTTTGAGTTCAGATATTCAATTACCTACATTTCCTACTATAGTGAAATCCAGTACTTTCCTGACAGCAGTCAAAGATTACCACAGAGTCCTTATAAGGTCTTATAGAAATACAAATATATAAAAGAAATAGTAAAATAATCCTGACAAAAACAAATGTGATTACTTAGTAAAGATGGTAAAACTGGAGATCATCATCTCCTGTCCCCCTAATACCTTACTAAATGGAAGAGAGGTAAAAAGCAGCATATGATTCACTAGTGATGAAAGCAAATACAATTACCAAACTGATAAAGAAGTAAGAAGCAGCTGCTGCTGCTGCTGCTAAGTCGCTTCAGTGGTGTCCAACTCTGTGCGACCCCATAGACGGCAGCCCACCAGGCTCACCTGTCCCTGGGATTCTCCAGGCAAGAACGCTGGAGTGGGTTGCCATTTCCTTCTCCAGTGCAGAAAAGTGAAAAGGGAAAGTGAAGTCACTCAGTCATTTCCGACTCTTAGCGACCCCAAGGACTGCAGCCTACCAGGCTCCTCCGTCCATGGGATTTTCCATGCAAGAGTACTGGAGTGGGGTGCCATTGCCTTCTCTGAAGCAGCAGCTAGGCACAGATAAAAATATAAAGGTTTGAGACAATCAAAGAAAATGCAGAGAAAAAAAATTATAATGAAACAAAAAATGTTTAAACATCAAGATATGATAAGCATATAATAAAGGACAGAAATGGCAATATAATTAAATAATAAAGGCAATGTTATAACAACATATAATAAAGTACATAAACAGCAAGAACCTAAAGGAAACAGAAGAGATTAAGAAGAGGTGGCAAGAATACACAGAACTTTACAAAAAAGGTCTTAATGACCCAGCTAACCACAATGGTGTGGTCACTCACCTAGAGCCAGACATCCTGGAGTGTGAAGTCTCATGAGCCTTAGGAAGTACTACTATGAATAAAGCTAGTGGAGATGATGGGATTCTAGCTAAGCTATTTCAGATCCTAAAAGATGATACTATGAAAGTGCTGCACTCAATATGCCAGCAAATTTGGAAAACTCAGTGGTGGCCACAGAACTGGAAAAGATAACTTTTCATTTCAATCCCAAAGAACGGTAATGCCAAAGAAAGTTCAAATTACGTTACAACTGCTCTCATTTCACATACTAGTAAGACGATGCTCAAAATCCTTCAAGCTAGGCTTCAGCAGTATGTGAACCGAGAACTTCCAGGTGTATGAGATGGATTTAGAAAAGACAGAGGAAACAGAGAACAAATTGCAAAGATCTACTGGATCATAGAAAAAGCAAGGAATTTAAAAAAAAATCTATTTCTGCTTCACTGACTACACTAAAGCCTTTGACTGTGTGAATCATAACAAACTGTAGAAAACTCTTAAAAAGATGGAAATGCCAGACCACCTTACCTGTGTCCTAAGAAACCTGTGTGGCAGGACAAGAAGCAACAGTTAGAACTGGATATGGAACAGCGGACTGGTTCAATGTTACTGAGAAAGGAATACGTCAAGGCCGTATACTGTCACCCTGATTATTTAATTTATATGCAAAGTAAGTACATCATGCTAAATGTCGGGCTAGAAGATTCACAAGTTGGAATCAAGATTGCAGGGAGAAGTATCAACAAACTCAGTTATACAGAGGATACCACTTTAATGGCAGAAAGCGAAGACGAACTAAAGAACCTCCTAATGAATGTGAAAGCAGAGAGTGAAAAGGCCAGCTTAAAACCCAACATTCAAAAAATGAAGATCACAGCATCTGATCCCATCACTTCATGGCATATAAATGGGGGAAAACTGGAAACAGTGACAGATTTAATTTCTGGGGCTCCAAAATCACTGCAGATGGTGATTGCAGCCATGAAATTAAAAGATGCTTGCGTCTTGGAGGAAAAACTATGACAAACACAGACAGCACATTAAAAAGCAGAGACATCACTTTGCTGACAAAGATCCATATAGTCAAAGCTATGGTTTTTCTAGTAGCTATGCATGGACGTGAGAATGGAAACATAAAAAAGTCTGAGAAACAAAGAATTGATGCTTTCAAACTGTGGTGCAGGAGAAGACCTTTGAGAGTCCCTAGTACAGCAAAGAAATAAAACCAGTCAATCCTAAGGGAAATTAACCCTGAATATGCATTAGAAGGACTGATGCTGAAGCTGAAGCTCCAGTACTTTGGCCACCTGAAGACCCGACTCTTTGGGAAAGACGCTGATACTGGCAAAGATTGACAGCAAGAGGAGGAGGTGGTGACAGAGGATGAGATGGTTGGACAGCATCACCGACTCAACGGACATGAGTTTGAGCAAACTCAGAGAGATAGTAAAGGATAGAGAAGATGAGGTCACACAGAATCGGACACTACCTAGCGACTGAACAACAAAAGCAGTACAAAATATAATAAAATTTTCATGAAATGAAATGTGACCTAAATCTGCCCCAAGAAACAATATATCATCAAAGCAAAACTGATACTGAATGATCAACATGGTGACATATCCTCATTAAGTTACTGAAGATCAGACATAAAGAATCTTTCAGGTAAGTAGTCATGCCAGAAAACATCTGCAGGTTGGCCTCAACTTCTCCACAGCACATTTCCATCTAAGAAAAATGGAGAAACCCACTACCAAGTCTTTTGATTTTTTTAAATCTCTGCCAAAGATAAGCCTCTAATTATACAGCAAACTATGTCAGCAGTTAAAATTTCAAAAATAAAACACCCAGGAATTCTTCTTGAACACACTAATTGTTAAAGAAACCCATCATAGCAAATAATGGATTAAACTTAAAACTTCAAAAATCAAAGGTAAAATAAGAATGGAATCTAACAATGTACAATAAAGACTAAATGTATACATGAATGATGGTATAGAACAAAATATAAATGCAATAAAACTGGGAAAGTTAAAAATAAATAATACAATTTACTCATTTTAAATAAACTGAAGGCACTTTAGACGTCTGGCCACCAAAACCGTGAGAAAATAAATTTCTTTTGTTTAAGCCACCTAATCTTTGGTATTTTGTTATAGCAGCTTGAGACCACTAATACATCCATTTTTCTAGCTTGACAGAGAAAGTAACCTATCATTTTGTAATATGTATCAATAGTTCATATACTTCATTTAAAAAAACTGAGCTTATCCAATATGACTTAACAAATTCATGATAACTTCTGGTAATATGTGCTTCCTTTTAAGAATATCTCAAATCTCTGGTTCTATTAGCGGAGAACCTTAAGAGGTTTAAAACAAACAAAAAAACAGGTGGAAAAAGGGAGGCTAGAATCAGAAATAAACCACCGAGTTACGACTGTGATCACCAAGGGGCTCAGGACGGGACACGTCAGCTCCACGGCTGACTCCTGCCAGTGTGCGGCAAGACCACCACGGTACTGTGAAGCAATCAGCCTCCAGCTAATAAAAATAACTGGGAAAAAATGAAAGACTATGATCATTAAGACGTGATGGATCCTAATTAACTGAAATGGTTAACAGAAGCCTGTCAACAATTTCAGAAACGACTAATGGGTATAAATAATAACAGACAGAATCAGAAAAATATTCCATAACAAATGTAAAGCCTACTGATAATTACAAAGAAGAAAGAGAAGAATAAACAAACACAGATTATAAGAAAACAAAACTTTCTCCTTTCCCTAGCATGTGCACAGTAATTCAAGAAACATGAACTCAGAGGTACTACAATTAGGTATGAAAGACAGTACAAATACAAATACGAATTAAACAAAGCAAGCAGCTCACAGAGCATGGTAGGTGAAGAGAGAGACATAAATTGTTACTATAAAATCATCTAATAAATGCTAGTAAGATGACACCTAACCTTCATTCAGTGCCTCATACAAAAGATGTTTGAGTTGCTTTAAGAAGGAATTTACTATCCTCATCAGATACGAAATCTCTTGTAACCAGAGGGAATAGCACGTATAAGGCACAAAAAAGTGACAGGTCAAACTGTACATATGCTCCAACAGCATGGATGAATGGACTCATACAAGAGATGGATAAAGATGGAAAGGAGGCTACAGACATAGACAAAATTCAGAATACAAATTCATTACTCTAAGGAGTTTATAGACTTCATCCCAGAGGGTGGGATCAAAAGTTTTATGTTGGGGAAAAAAAAAGTTTTATGTTAAAAAGATTAAAATATGTATATTTTTAAATATATGATTAAATAAATTATTAAATATGTAACTTTTAGGAAGATCATTCTGGAACCAGTTTCAATGCCTATCCTACGCCCACAAGTTCTTATTATTTATACCCCATTTTTCTTTTTAAAAATGAATTAAAGTGCTTGTTTCCAACCTTCTGTCACTCAATGAAATATTTATTTGCTTCTGTGAAAAAGTTTTATTTCATCAAAACTACTATTAAAATAGTCAATAACTTACCTCAGCTATAGGTATCTTCTGATTTTAAGTTACATATGTTTATTATAGAAAATTTGGAAAATAATGAAAATGAAAACAAAAACAAGTCTCACCTACAATCTTAGTCCCAGGCATAAAGCAATGTTACACTTTTTGGTACCAATTAGACTTTTTGGTATACAATTTAATCATATATGCTTTATCCTCTCACAAAAATTTGTTAGCATTTCATCAATTTCTTTGATAGTATTATTTTTTTTTCAATACATTATTTTTAAAATCTCCATTTTCTCCACTATATGAATACAATGTAAAAAAATTATGTTTATAGTTTATTGAATAACTAGATTGCTTCTAATTTTTCAATAAATACCATAACGGGATGATGGAATACTTCTGTACATGTACCTATTTGTTTATATCTTTGAAAAGAAAAGAAAGAAAGAAAGAAAGAAAGTAAGAAAGTGAAGCCACTCAGCCATGTCCAATTCTTTGCGACCCCATGGACTGTAGCCTACCAGGCTCCTCCATCCATGGGATTTTCCAGGCAAGAGTACTGGAGTTGGTTGCCATTTCCTTCTCCAGGGGATCTTCCCAACCCAGGGATCGAACCCAGGTCGCCTACATTGCAGACAGACGCTTTACCATCTGAGCCACCAGGGATGCAAGCTTATATCTCTGAAGTGCGTATTAAACAAGAAAATTCATCAGAAAATTTACATTTGAACTTACTACAATAATTTCATATATGAATATCTACAAGAATGTCTTCTCTACAACTTACCTTTTTCTTTTTAACGTTTCTATCAGGCAGAGGAAAATGGTCTTCGAGAAACTCACCCAGGGTAACCAAGAGTTTCTCCTTATATTCTTTTATATCACGAATTTTTGTTTTCAGCTCATTAAAAATTCTAGAAAGATTTTTTTTAAATAAGATAATTAATTTGTTGATAAAACACTTAGATATAAAGAATTGGTTATTCATAAAATTAATCAAATACTCTATTCAATCTTCATTGCTCAAATCAAATAACTAGCTTTATGAGATAGTCTATTTAACATAGGAAAACTAAAAGTCAAATTATTAATAAAAGATTATGTAACTTTTAGCAATTAGTAAAAGTCAGGGTAAGACAATTTCTGGTAAAATTCACCTGCTTTTCATCTATGCATTTCATACAACATAAAAAAGGAAATAATTTCTCCTATTTTGAAAACCTAGAACACAAAATCAATACCTTGATTCAGAAAATGTCACAACCTGCTGTTTCAATTCATTTTGTAGTACATTAAGAGATTCCAGTATCTGTTGCTGTTCATCCAACCATTTTTGCTCCCTTTGAACATGAAAAAGCAAAACAAACAATAGTCAAATAAAACATTAATGCTAATTCAATATATATAAAAGACTAATGGCAATTATAATATAAATATACCTTTCTAAGTCTTCCTTTAATTTTTCATTATTTGACTGAATAGTAGATAGCACCAATTCAAGATCATGTCTCAATTTTTGGAACTAGAACAAAATAAATAAAATTAATTGTTTAATCTTTAATCTTGTAGATAGTTATATGTCTGAACAATAGTGAAATTTACATACTAGGATATACATTCAGAAATCAACAGCAAAAAAAGGCTAGCAAAAAAGTCTTTGAAAGGTAAATATACACCAGGTACTAAGTTCTATGTAATACTGCACTGTTAAATTTAAAAATATAAGAGGTTTTGAGCAATAAATTGTAATTTCATACTGAAAGGCAATTCTATGGAAAATTTTCAGTAACCAGGCATATTAGGTCTCTTTTCTAAGGAGACTATACTAAACAGACACAGAAGAGTATCACTCATTCAACAAATATTTCTTGATCAATTGTTAACATTAGGTACTATTGAAGGAGTCAGGGATGCAAAAGTGAACAGAACAAAGAGGGGAATCCAAACAAAGAAACAAACTTGAAACTCCAGAAAGGGATAAATACGATATTGTAAAAATAGGTCAAAGCAAGAGTACAGAAATGAGGAGCAGGGATGGCATTTTTAGGTATGATATAGACAACACTGATAGCACATCAAATATGGTCCAATAATGGACTTAAATTAATAATCAAATAATTTATTTGAAAAATGTGAAAATTTGGATGCTAAAAATAACTTGCAAATAATCCATGGGTCAAAAACACAATCCTCAGAAAAATAAGAAATTATGATGAACTATTTGAAAATAAAAGTAAGATTAAAGTTTCTGGAATAAAGCAAAAGAAGTATTCAGATAAGAATTTACACCACTAAAAGCCTGTATTAGAAAAAAGAGAAAAAGAAAAAAGAAAGCTCTCTAAATCCAGCTTGAACATCTGGATCATCAAAAAAGCAACAGAGTTCCAGAAAAACATCTACTTCTGCTTTATTGAATATGCCAAAGCCTTTGGCTATATGGATCACAACAAACTATGGAAAACACTTAAAGAGGTGGGAACACCAGATCACCTTACCTGCCTCCTGAGAAATCTGTATACAGGTCAAGAAGCAACAGTTAGAACTGGACATGGAACAACAGACTGGTTCCAAATCAGGAAGGGAGTGGTCAGGCTGTATATTGTCACCCTGCTTATTTAACTTATATGTGGAGTACATCACGTGAAACACCAGGCTAAATGAAGCGCAAGCTGGAATCAAGATTGACGGGAGAAATATCAACAACCCCAGATATGCAGATGACACCACCCTTATGGCAGAAAGCAAAGAACTAAAGAGCCTCTTGATGAAAGTGAAAGAGGAGAGTGAAAAAGATGGCTTAACGCTCAACATTCAGAAAATGAAGATCATGGCATCTGGTCCCATTACTTCATGGCAAATAGATGAGGAAACAATGGAAACAGTGACATACTTTATTTTTTGGGGCTCCAAAAATCACTGTAGATGGTGACTGCAGCCATGAAATGAAAAGACACTTGCTCCTTGGAAGAAAAGCTATGACCAACCTAGACAGCGTATTAAAAAGCAAGAGACATTACCTTGCGAACAAAGGTCTGTCTAGTTAAAGCTATGGTTTTTCCAGTAGTCATGTATGGATGGATGTGAGAGGTGGACCATAAACAAGACTGAGCACCGACGAATTGATGCTTTTGAACTGTGGTGTTGGAGAAGACTCTTGAGAGTCCCTTGGACTGCAAGGAGATCCAACCAGTCCATCCTAAAGGAAATCAGTCCTGAATATTCATTGGAAGGAGTAATGCTGAAGCTCCAATACGTTGGCCACCTGATGTGAAGAACTGACTCATTTGCAAAGATCCTGATGCTGGGAAAGATTGAAGGTGGGAGAAGGGGACGACAGAGAATGAGATAGTTGGATAGCATCACTGATTCGATGGACATGAGTTTGAGTAAGTTCCATGAGTTGGTGATGGACAGGGAGGCCTGGTGTGCTGTGGTCCATGGGTCACTAAGAGTCGGACATGACTGAGTGACTGAACTGACGAACAATGAGGTGCATGTATCTTTCTGAATTAGTATTTTTGTTTTATTCAGATATATACCCAGGAGTGGAGTTGCTGGGTAATATGGTAGTCTAGATTTTTGAGAAACTGCCTTACTGTTTTTCACAGAGGATGCACTAATTTATGTTTCCAAGAGTGTCTGAGGGTTCCCTTTTCTCCATGTCCTCACCATTTGTTATTTGTATTCTTTTTGACAAGTCATACTGACAAGCAGGAGGTATTATCATTTTAATCAGCTTTTTTTTTTTTTAATTTTGGGGGGATTGTTTCCACGTGGCATTCAGGATCTTAGTTCCCCAACCAGGGATTGAACCCAGGCCCCATGCAGTGGAAATGCAGTCTTAACCACTGGTCTGCTAGGGAAATCCTAGGTGTTTTTTTGGGGGGGGATGTTGACTTGTATAAGTCATTTATGTAAGTTGGATATTAACCCCTTATCAATCATAGCATTTGGTAATGTTTTCTCCCACTCAGTAGGTTGCCTTTTCATTTTGTTGATGTTTTCTTTTGCTGTGCAAAAGCTTTTAAATTTAATAAGGTCCTATTTGTTTACTGTTGCTTTTATTTCCTTTACCTTAGGAGACAAAGCTAAAAAAACATTGCTACGATTTATGTCAGAGTGTTCTATCCATATTTTCCTCTAGGAGATTGATGGTTTCTGGTCTTACTTTTCTGTCTTTAATCTGTTTTGAGTTTACTTTGTATATGGTGATAGAGAATGTTCTAGTTTTACTTTTTTAATTTATGGATGTCCCAGCACCACTCACTGAAGAGACAGTCTTTTCTCCATTGTAAATTCTTCTCTCCTTTGTTGTAGATTAAATGACCAAAAATGTGTGGGTTTCTTTCTGGACTGTCTTACATGTCTACATTAGTTCCTTGTTAGTGTAGAGAAAGGTAATATATCTCTTTGTATTAATTCTGTATTCTGAAACTTAACCAAATACACTGAAGTGTTCTAGTAGTTTTCTAGTAGTGTCTTTAGGATTTTCCATGTATAATATCATGTCATCTACAGTGATAGTTTTACTTCTTCCTTTCCAATTTAGCATCCTTCTATTTCTTTTTCTTGACTGATTGCTGAGTCTAGGAACTCCAACACTATGTTGAATGAAATTTGGTAATTCACATTTAAAGCTCAAAAACAAACTCCATTCATAAACTACTATTTGATGAACATCCATCCTGCTTTCCACTGGGAACCCCCCTGTATTAATACTTATAGACCTTTTTTCTAGGGCCATTACACTTTCCAGAGGTTATTTTAACTATAGTTTGAGGCTACTTTTATACCATACTGTAGGACCCCTAAAGGAAATCAACCCTGAATAGTCGTAGGAAGGACTGATGCTGAAGCTGAAGCTCCAATATTTTGGCCACCTGATGTGAAGAGCCAACTCAGTGAAAAAGACCCTGATGCTGGGAAAGATTGAGGACAAGAGGCGCAGGGGGTGACAGAGGATGAAATGGTTGGATGGCATCAATGATTCAATGGACAAGAGTTTGAGCACTCAGGGAGACAGTGAAGAACAGGAAGGCCTGGCATGGTACAGTTCATGAGGTTACAGAGACTGGCACAACTTGGCAACTTAACAACAACAAAGGAACCCTGTAGATAGATCAAGGGAAGGAGCTGGTACTTCTACAACACAGTATTACAAATGTTAACTTGAACTTTCTGACTTTTGACCTCATACCAACCTTATTAAACCTGGTGTGCTGAGGTCAAAGCCTCAATAGTTTAATGTCTCCATATAACATACCTCCAGTTTCAGGTGTGTGGGTGAAAGTTAGCCACTTGATTGCAAGAGAGAGAGAAAAGGCCAAGAGGTCTGTTCTTACTTTAAAGAAATCTTATTTTAAGCTCTACAGTTGAACCCTGAATTTTCAAGTACCAGGTTCCTTCAAATCCAAAGCCTTTCTTCAGTTCTATTCAGCAGATTCTGTCTCTAAGAATATAGATATTTATCTATTTCAATGCTCTATAACTTTATTTAAAATTCTTGTTTGCTTCTATCTTACCTCCTAAACTTTGATCTAATAAACTGATGCTTTAAAAAACATCTTTATTGACCTTTATGTTAGGTTTTAAGGACAGATGTTTATGTATAATCATTTATATTTAAACTTTTAGCATTTATTATGAAGTTTAATCAACAAAAATTAAATACAAAAGTAAAGTTTATATATTTATTTCAAAATTCAAAAATCTGAAGAATCCTAAAACATAATTAATACAATTTTAAAATGGTTTCATCTCACTCGTTATGGCATGAACTTATCCAAAATACTTTCTGTCATAAGCTATTCTGGATTACTACAAATTCACTCAGTGACTTACCTCTTCTTTTCCTAATGTTACCAGAATTTCTTCATTCAGGGGAATCACTACAGTAACAAAACAAACAAAAATTATACATATGCTTAGTTATCTCTCAAAAATTAAGAATTTGATTTTGTAGTTTCTAAGATACTGCTTTCCCTTTTCATTTATATACAATAGAATGTTTATGAGATGTGTTCAGTTTTTATAAACATTTTTATTTAACACCTTTGCATATATAGCCAAATTATGTATCACATTAGACAAATGTCATATTTTCACATTTTGTTTTTAGTGCCTTTTTCTCTTATTTTCCCAATCCATCAAAAACAAAATCAATATTCTACAGCGTGTTTCTTAAATATTTCTCTCTGGTTAAATGATTCTATGCATACAAACACAGATCCAATGTATACAGTCTATGCATATTTGTACATATACAAACAAAGGATGATTAATTTTGTCATTCCCAGTTTTACTAGAATGAGATCATACCATACACATTACTCTTATTTTCACTCAACTGAACCCACATGGAAATCCTGTACATTCATCAGGAGTAAGTCAAATTCATAATTTTAAATCACTGCATAATATTCCACAGGGTAAGTTCATCAAATGTGTTGAGCAATTTAACTATTGATTGAGCACTGACTTTGTGTCTAGAGTTTAGCCTCAAAAAACAATGATGCAGGAAACATTCTTTTATTTATGTCCTTATACATTGATTCTTTCATTTCTGTGGGATAGATTCCCAGAAAGTGAATTTCACAGAAGAAAATGTGTATTTTGAATTTTAAAATAGGATGCTAGATTCTTTTTTTTTAATCTTCTGGAAGCAATGACTACGAAACAGCAAAAATATTATTAAACTCTTTTAAAAATTCTGCCAGTAGGATGATTATAAATTAATATTCTATTTTCATATAACAAAATCAAATCCTTATACTTACAAAAGTTCAATTCTTATACTTAATTTACTTTTCCTAATGAAGTGTTACTAAAATTTCTCAAATGATACACTACGGGAAACTTCCTAAGCTTTCTTCCATGCTAAAGGGTTTTCTAACAGAAAAGAGCTATGTAATTCATAGGCCCTGTATAACTAAATAGGACTAACTATAGGCAGCCCTGGGATAGCTATACAATGAAAAGGATTCTAAGAATATAAAGTTTAAAAATGTCCCTTTTGACAAGTGTGACTAAAAGTAGCACTTCATATTCAAACAAACATTTCAACCAATATGGCAGGCTCTAAGACTATAAAGATTTTAAAACTCTTTCCAGTGTGGCAGCCTATGGGATTCACAAACTTAGGCAAGGTGGGTATTTGACCAACAAGTCAGTGTGTTCAGTGCTAGCAGTTCAAGGTCTTTATGTAAGACTGTAAGACGTCTGGAAGGTAGAGAGATATACAAGTGTGATGTTACAGAGAAGTCTGCTATGGATATACAGACATGAAAACTGTGGAAATTTTGTGTCCTCTCCCTATCCTCCCATCCATTCCCACTCCACCAAATTTCATATTTTGACGTCCTAAGTTCTAGTACCTCAAAACATGACTGCATTGGGGCTGGATCATAATTAAGTTAAAATAAGGTCAACAGGGTGGACCCTACTCCATTATTAATGGCTTATACAAAGAGATTAGAACACAGATGGGTGACCATGTGAAGACATAGGAAGAAGATGGCAGGCAGTCTACTGGTCAAGAAGAGAGGCCTCAGAAGAAACCAACCCTGCCAACACTTTGATCTTGGACTTCTATCCTCCAGAATTGTGACGGGGGAAAAAAGCTTCTGTTGTTTAAGCAACTCGGTCATGCTACTTTGTTATGGCAGCACTAACAAACTAATATAGAAGTCATTAATACAGATATATCACATTAAAATAGGAGCATAAAAATATAATGTTGAAATAGCATATAGAGTAAGAAGCAAAAAGCACTGAACACCAACATTTTAATAGCAGAGTATGAGCAGTCTTTGAGATGCCCAATATAATGCTAGAGGAGGCAACAAGATATAAGGTTGAATGTAAATTAAAATCACAATTGTATATACATACATATCAGAGGTGCTGAAATTAAAAAGACTACTAGGTAGTAGTGAAGACATAAAACAATGGTGGACATTGGCATGAACATAATATTAGGTTGAGCAAATGTAAATGCAGTTTCAGACTGTGAATTTTAAATCATTATAACTAGGCTCAAACATATCTTTATTAATCAAAATAGGAACCATTACAATCAATATATTTTTGCCAATGAGAAATAAGTTTACTCCTGTAGCATAAAAATCCAGGCTTCAGGATTTGACACTCTTGGAAAGCATTTTCTGCCTCCTGCTGGTTGTGGAAGCATTTTCCCTGCAAAAGTTGTCAAGATGCTTGAAGAAGTGGTAGTCCATTGGCAAGAAATCAGGTGAATATGGTGGATGTGGCAAAGCATCATAGCCCAGTTCATTCAACTCTGGAAGCACTGGCTGTGTGCTGTGCAGTCAGGTGCTGTTATAGAGAAGAACTGGGCCCTTTCTGTTGACCAATGCCAGTTGCAGGTGCACAGTGCATCTCATCAATTTGCTGAGCATACTTCTCAGATGTAATAGTTTCACTAGGACTCAGCAAGCTGCAGTGGATTAGACCAGCAGCAGACCACCAGTGACCATGACCTTTTTTGGGCAAGTTTGGCTTTAAGTGCTTTGGGGCTTCTTGTTGGTCCAGCCACTGAGCTGGTCATCACTGGTTGTCATATAAAATCAACTTTTCATTACATGTCACAATTCGATTGAGAAATGGTTCATTGTTGTGTACAGTAAGAAAATACTTAGAATGACGATTTTTTTTTTTACTTTCAGTCAGCTCATGAGGTATTCACTTAACGAGCTTTTTCACCTTTTCAATTTACTTCAAATACTGAACAACCATAGAATGGCCAACGTTGAGTTCTTCCACAACTTCTTGTGTAGTTGTAAGAGGATCAGCTTCAATGATCCTTTCAACTAGTTGTTGTCAACTTCTGATGGCTGGCCATGTGCTCCTCATCTTCAAGGCTCTCATCTCCTTTGCTAAACTTCTTGAACCACCACTGCACTATACGTTTATTAGCAGTTCCTGAGAAAAATGCATTGTTGATGCTGCAAGTTATCTCCGCTGCTTCATCACCATTCTGAACTCATATAAGAAAAACCACTAGAACTTCCTTTTTGTCTAACACCATTTCTCTAGTCTAAAATAAATGTAAAATAAGCAGCAAGTAATGCCATTAGCAAAAAAAACCCATAAAGCTAGAAATGTGCATTAAATGTATAACATAACCACATTTATTTAAGATTATATTCCAATATTAAATGGCAAGGTTCAACACTGCAAAACTGCTATTACTTTTGCATCAACCTAATAGTTTAAAACAAGAATGCAGATAAAATTGTTTAGGAAGAGAATGAGAAAAAAGAATTCTGATAACTGAAAGAAAATGGAGAGGAAACAAAGAAAGTTAGAAAGGAAACAGAGGGGTAGAAGAAAGCAGAAGGGAGACCTAAACGAAAAAAGAGAGTACAATCCATATGGAAGATTGAATACAGACAGACATACCACTAAAAGGAATGCAATCTTTAATAACAGAAAAATATCTCCTAGCTGGGTATTATAACCACAGATTTCTAAGTAATTTTCAGTTTCTCAACTAAAGGCAAAAATACTGTTGGACAAATCAAAAGGCAACATAAAATTTATGTAGCTTTTAATGCAAGTATCTAAAATAATTTCTCTCTTCCACTATGTAAGTTTCATTCATTAGGAAACAATACGGTTTCTACTGAGCATATAAAATAGTGTCTATGAGGATAAAGTGATGGCTATAATAAAGTCTCCATAATCAAGATTACTATATTCTAATGTGAGGCAGACATGCTCATCTATAATAATAAAGAAATGTATGACAAAACCCACTGCAATGTTGTGAAGTAATTAGTCTCCAACTAATAAAAATAAATGAAAAAAAAAAAAGAAGTATGAAATTCTGTGTGTAAAAAAAGAAAACTAAGGTGACTTCCTTATAGCAATGGAATATAGACCAATTTCAAGAAAGTTAAACACATCTTGAATTCTTCTTGTGATCCTTAAATTAATTCAACATTAATTTGCTTATAAAAATATAAATCTAAAAATAAGAATCTTACTTTCAGGAGTTTCTTTCTGCCACTGACTAAGTTCAGCAGTCAAACATTTCACTTGCATAATTAATAATGACAGCTATTTAAAAAAAAAGAAGAGAATAAAACAAAGTTATTTCCTATGGAATATTCATATCTATTCATAGATGAATGTGTAAACAGTCTTAATACTTTAATACAAGTCCCTAAAATAAGTGGCTAATGTAACAGCCATCTAAACTATAAAAAATTATTACTCCCAACATAATTTTCCTTTAAGTCACATTAATTATAGCCTATAAATTGCCATTATAGCAGCAATACAGTCCTAAAAATGATCATTTCTAATTTCAGCATTCAACCTAAAACAACTAAGTACATTAAGTTTATTCTCTGAAGTAATATTCTTTAAAAAAAAAAGTTATTTCTTGCCAATTTTTAAAGACAAATTTGCTTGAAAGATGCTTTTTTCCTCTTTCTATGCACTTTTAGCAAAACTGCAACTAGTTTAACTGAGCAGTTAAATACATATATAAAAACAATTATAAAATGAGACTTATTCCACAAATCACACACTCACACACAAAAAAAGTTTTACTATACCAAAATTTGTAAATTGTATATCCCTTTAGCCAAAAATAAATTAAAATAAATGTTTCTGATATTAGGTGATTCCAATCATTTTAATCTTGATAAATTACAAATCTATGTGATAAATGTGTTACCAGATTAGACCATAAAATTAACATCAATGTATGCTTAAATTTCTGGAGAAGGAAATGTCAACCCACTCCAGCATTTTTGCCTGGGAAACCCCATGGACATAGGAACCTGGTAGACTAAAGTCCACAGGGTTGCAAAGAGTCAGACGCAACTGAGTGACTAACACATGCTTAAATTTCAGAACATTTTTATTCTTCTACATAACTTTTATAGGTAGCCAAACAGATCAAAAACTTACATTTCAAAAATGCAATAGGGAGGCTTCCCTGGTGGTCCAGTGGTTAAGACTTCGCCTTGCAATGAAGGGAATGCTGGTTCTAACCCTGGTGAAGGAAGATCCCACATGCCACAGAACAACCAAGCCCATGTGTCACAACTACTGAGCCTGTGCTCTAGAGCTCTCAAGCCACCCCTACTGAAGCCAGTGTGCCTACAGCCTCATGCTCCACAACAAGAGAAGCCACCACAACAAGAGGCCCACATATCGCAACTAAACAGCAGCCCCTGCTCTGCACAACTAGGGAAAAACCCTCACACAGCAGAAGACTCAACACAGTCAAAAATTTAAAAAATATATATATATTTTTAAAAATGCAATAAATATTGCTGCAATAACTATATTAAAAAGTTACCAAGTACTCTTTTTTTTTAATAATTAAAACATATGTATTTATTTTTGGCTGTGCTTTGCTTTGCCGTGGTGCAGGGGCTCTTTGTTGCTGAGGCTTCCTCTAGCTGCAGGAACCAGGAACTGCTTGTTGCTGAGCAGTTGGGCTCGACAGTGCACTAACTTCAGCAGCTGCAGTGCAAGGGTCTAGTTGCGCTCTAGCAGGTGGGATTTTAGTTCTGGACCCATAGACCAGACCACAGATTAAATTAACAGCCCCTGCATTGGCAGGCGAATTCCAATCACTGACCCACCAGGAAGTCCCTCAAGTACTCTTGTTTAATCAATTTTTAAAATACAGATCAGGAAGCTTCAAGACCCTACTCTGAATCATAACACTGGCTGTTGAATAGTCAGATGGAAAAACCTAGTCTCTGAAAGATTTACTTAATTATATAAAAATTCATCTATAGGTATTACAAATTTTTACCAAAGAAGAGTATAACATAATTTTCTTAGAGATAATTAAACAAGAATGTAAAAAAGTTTTTGAGAACTATAAAGTCACTTATAAATGCTAATTATTATTATTACTATAGAAGCATAAGAAATCCTTAAAAAGTAAAATTTAAACTAGGCAAAACTATCAAAATGGTAAGGACTCTATATCACTTTTCCTGAAAATATTAGATCAAAATACATAAAGTTACCGACATTCATTTTTTTAACCTATTAAAAAATATAATTTAACCTCATACTATACTGATGAAACTCAGCTCTTACCTTTTAAAGCCCAGCTAAGGCAAATACGCAAATTATATCTGATACTGCTATAAAATTAAACCCTTTCTAACAAAGAAAAAAGTAGTATTTCTAAAGTGATTTTTAAAAAATTTGAGAAATCCTACCATTTTCCCATTTAATTTCTTGCTTTAGAAAATGGACTAAGCTTTAATACTGAATGTTTGAAATGAATAGATATGCTGGAAAGAATAAACTAAGCAAGCCTGAAATTATCCTTAAAGGCCTGCTTGCAAGGTTGGCCCCTGGCATCTAGGAGCCTGGATCTTAAGTAGGTTCCCACCAATCTGACAAGAGTGGCTCTCTGTGCCTAAACTGTGAGAAAATACAATTTATACTGAACACCTGCTTTCCTCCTAAGGGTCTGGTATTTTGATAACTGACAGGCTAAAGGGTGCCTATGTAACTGCTGCTGCTGCTAAGTTGCTTCAGTCGTGTCCAACCCTGTGCGACCCCATAGACGGCAGCCCACCAGGCTCCCCCGTCCCTGGGATTCTCCAGGCAAGAGTACTGGAATGGGGTGCCATTGCTTTCTCTGGCCTATGTTAACTACCTCCCACAAAAAACTTTGGACTGAGTCTCTAATAAGCTTCCCTGGTAGACAATGTTTCACACTCATCACAACTCACTGGGGTATTTAAGTATGTCTTCTGTGACTCCACTGGGAAAGGGTCCTGAAAGCTCATGCCTGGTTTCCTCTGGACTTAAACCCATGCTTCTTTTCCCTTTGCTGATTTTATTCTGTATCATTTCAATGCAATAATTATCTCAGTCATGAATATGACGACTACAGACTGAGCCCTCTGAATAATTGTATAGAATCATAAAACCTGGGAGGAATGTTGGAGACCCCCAATACAATAGGAAAAGACATTTTGTGGAATCTTTGGATAATGTTATTATTGACTATCTCAGAATTCTGATTATTTACCACTACCTAAGCACTTCCCTCAAAACTGATGTTTGGCTTATTGCCTGAAAATCATTCAGGAAACTTAACTAGTGATTCTGATTCAGTAGGTCTCAATTTCTACAAGAAAAGCATCACATTTCCCAAGGAAACTAGATAATTTATTTATTGTACAATGATTTCCCAAATATAATTCAGTTTTACCCTGTACAAAAGAACATTATTTACTTATTGATGGATACAAACCTTTTTACAAAAGATGACTTGATTTTTTATGACCAGTTTTCAAACATCTGCTGTAATAAGCACTTTTCAAAGTGACAAACTAGCATTTTCCTTGTCTCTTTCTCACTCATTCTCATTTATTACTTAGGAGCATTATGCTCATAGATTTTAATGTTTTCATATTGTTATAATCAGCTGAAGCCTTTTTTTGATGCTCACATGATACCAAATATGGACAGCTGAGTGCCTTCAATAGGTCCCAATGTCTTTTGACATGCTCCCAGTATTTCTGGAGAACTTTCATTGGAATTATTTGCACATTTAACTGTTCTTAGAATTTTTATTATAAAAACATTTTTAACTTTTTATATGGTCAAAGGCATCTAAATTTTCTTTTACCATGTCTAGATTTCTATTATTAGCCAAGCCATTTTCTTTTGTCTCTACCAAGACTGCACAGTCTCCAGCTTTTCTTAGGTTTTCATAGCAATTCATCTAGAACTTATGTTTCTATAATAAAACATAGAAGTCCAATTTTATTTTCTCCAGATGAATATCTAGTTGTACCACTATTCTTTACTAACTAATTCATCCCTTTCCCAAAGATTGTGCTGTCATCTCTGTCACACTTTAAATTTTTAACCTGTTGCACTGAACCACTGGTGTATTTCTAAACTAATTCCATAGGTCTTTGATTATTCAGATGAATAGTTTAATCCTTTTATGAACCTTAGGGTAAAATTAGTTAAAAATTCCACACAGAAAGTAAATAACTGTGGCTAGTGTACCTAACACAACATAGGACAGTCTTTGTTCTAATTTTTAACAAGGTATCACAATAGCAGCCAATGAGCAATTCACTCCATGATGAATGCATGCACAGTTGTTAAAACATAAATAATAAAGAATTTACTTATAACAGATTATTCAAAAAGCTTTTAGAATATTTCTCTTAAATCAGAAAGAAGAGAAAATTTTCCAAATCATTAAGTATACAGGCAGTAACAAAAATGTTATACTTGGCATAAATACAAACACATTTTGTACCTAAAACACAATGTATTCTACTTTTAGGAAGGACAAAAGGAATCATACCTGAGCATTTGAATCAGTGAGTGTCTCAGTTCCAGTAAGTGATAATTTGTTTTGACACTTGATTTAAAAAGTAAAGAAAAACAAATCACACAGTATATACCATAGACAATTTCTTTTCTCTATCCTTTTATATCAATGTACTATTCCTCTAAAACAATATACAAATATCTTATGTATGACAGCAATCTTTAAAATCCTTACTTCCTAAGCAAGAGGATCAAGAAGGAAGTCAAACAGGTCCCAACATGAACACAACAAAAGTACAAGTGGACTCTTGACTCAACACAGAATGAAAAAATGAGCATAAAAAAAACAAAAATAGCTAGGGTGAATTAGAAACTAGATAATGGAAAAATAGGAAATAATAGAACAAGGGGGAAAGCACTACAGAAAGATAACAAGAAGACAATTAAAATCATAAGAAAATAAAATCATCAGGAGACATTGCTACTATGCTATTGAAAAAAGAATTCACAATTGTTAATAGTGATTATATCTAAGTAAAAATATGGGCAACTTAAATTTTAATTGTGCTTATTTCTAATTGCAATACTTTTCCATAAAAATGTTTTGTTACTTTTTTTTTTTCATTTATTTTTATTAGTTGGAGGCTAATTACTTCACAACATTGCAGTGGGTTTTGTCATACACTGACATGAATCAGCCATGGAGTTACATGTATTCCCCATCCCGATCCCCCCTCCCACCTCCCTCTCCACCCGATTCCTCTGGGTCTTCCCAGTGGACCAGGCCCAAGCACTTGTCTCATGTTACTTTTTAAATTCAAAATTCTATATTGAAAATATTTCAAAAGCAACACGAAGTACCTTAAAAATTCAGTAATCACAGAGTACCAAGGATATATGCTTAAAAAATAATAATTTTTTAAAAAGGAAAAAAATAAAAAAACATTAACCTGCCTTAATGTAAAATTTTACTGGGAATAAGATGTAAAAAAATGTCTATGGCTTGTATCATATATCACACTATTTTGAGTAAAACAAATTTTTACCAGTATACTATAGTGCACCAGAGTGATTCTATCTCATTAACTCAGAAAATGTACAAATAATTCAATCAAATTTTATAAATTAATTCATATTTTCATTCAAACTCCATTAAGTATAAAGTCTTCTTACCCTTTCTATTCTCTATCTTGAAAAATAAAAACCACTAACCACTCAATGGCCCAAGCTAGGAACCTAAAACTATCTGTAATTCCCCATCACCATTTCACAACAATTAACCTCCAGGTCCTTTAAGTCCAATCTTCTTAGTACCTCTTGAATCCATTCTTCTATTCGCAATGACAAGACTCTGGCTTTAGTACTTCTTACAGGACCACTACTACAGCCTCCTGAATATTCTTTCCTTCTGTAGTCTCACTTTTCTACATTCCATCTTCTTCAAAACCACCAGAGTTATTTCCTCAAACAAGGTATCTCATAATGCCACTTCATGTTTATAATCCTTTAATAGTTCCCCATAATATTCATTCAACAAAGTCCTTCATGTGCTTGCCCCTAATTACCTCTCCAGTCTCACTCTACAAATCCTTCTTCTCCTAATTTAAATGTCATACTATTCTACTTAGAGTTCTCTAAATTCTCCCAACATTTATATATTTTGTTCTTATAAAGAACAAAGTATAACTTTGTATACCTCTCCCACTTTCACAGGCTAACTATTTATCCTTTTGAAATGAATTCAGTATTATTTCCTCTTTAAGAAAGCTATCTTTGACACTTTCAGGCTAGGCTTAGTACTCCTCTTAAGTATAATCTTTAAACTTTACCACCATATTATAATTTGTGATTGCCTGCATTAGATGATAATCTCCTTGAGGGCAGGGACTGCCATAATTTTTTCTCCTTCTACAGCTCATCTAGTATAAAATTTCTAAAATGAATGCTTATAAGTCTAAAAAATATGTAAGTAGTTATCATATAATATAACAGCTTTCAGGCTTCCCTGGTGGCTTAGCAGTAAAGAATCCGCCTGCCAATACAGATGATGCAGGAGATGCGGGTTCGATCCCTGGGTCATGAAGATCCCCTGGAGGAGGGCATGGCAACCCACTCCAGTATTCTTGTCTGGAAAATCTCATGGACAGAGGAGCCTGACAGGTCCAGAGGGTCACATATGGCTACAGTCCATAGGGTCACAAAGAGTCGGACACAACTGCACACATGCATAATTGCTTTCAGAAACCAGTGTAATTCTTTCTTAAGTCTATAACTGAAATAGAATTCAACCTTACAGTAATTAATTAGTATATCACTTTTATGTCTTGATACTTACTTCTTCCATATCTTTCCACATTTCTTCACATTTTTTAATAAGTTCTTCTTCAGCATCAGCAACATCTTCCACATCTGTAGTACTATCTGGATCTAAATCTTGCTGATTCACTGACATGTGCCTTATGATTTTTGTTAACCTTGTAAGAAAAACTAAAGTAAAAAATATCCATTTAACAATATTCATTGATACCCACTACCTGCCAGATACTCACCTAGAAGCTAAAGATGTAACAGTGAAGAAAACAGGCAAATATTCCTCCAACCAAGGAGCTTACATTTCACTTGAGGAAAACAAAATAAACTCAAAAAAGATCAAAACAAATATAAATAAATATAAACTATAAATACAATAAAAGATTAACTATACCATGTGTTATATATCAAATAGTTTAAAGTACTATGAAGAAAAGCAAGACAAGGAAGAAACATACGGAATGCTCAGACAGGGGCAACATGATTTTTCACAAGGTGGTCATATAAGGTCAATGAGACAACTTAGCAAAAATACAGAGAGAAGGAAGTAAGACACGTGGATATTTAGGAGAAGAGGCTTCAGGCAGAGGGAACTGAAAGTACAAAGGCCCTGGGGAAGTAACATGACTGCTGTTTCCTAAAGCAGTAAAGAAGCCACTGTGATTAGAGCAGAGTAAGGCAGAGAAAACAAGATGAGGTCACAGACATAACAGGGATGAGATTATGTGGGTTTTACAGGTCATTTTAAGGACATAGGCTGAAATGAGAAATGATCAGAGTTTTGAAAAGAGGAATAACAAGATTTGAATTATATTTTAACACTGTAACTCTGAGTAACTACAGCCGGTAAGGAGAGAAGTAGGCAAATCAGTTAAGATGCTACTGAAATGATCCAAGTAAGATGGGGACCAGGATAATATTGAGATGGTACAAAATGTCCAATTCTAAATATATTTCCAAGACAGAGCCAAAAGGATTTCCTAACAGTCTGTTCATAGAGTGTCAAAGAAAAAGATGAATCAATTATTATTTTAAAAGTTTGGGCCTAAGCAATTGGAAAGATGGAGTTGCCAGTTACCAAGATGGGGAAGATGATCAAAGAAACCAAATTAGCAAGACATGAGATAATGCTGATTAAGAATCCAGTTTGCTGCTGCTAAGTCACTTCAGTCGTGTCCGACTCTGTGTGACTCCAGAGACGGCAGCCTACCAGGCTCCTCTGTCCCTGGGATTCTCCAGGCAAGAACACTGGAGTGGGTTGCCATTTCTTTCTCCAATGCACCAGAGTGAAAAGTGAAAGTAAAGTCACTCAGTCATGTCCGACTCTTCGAGACCCTGTGGACTGCAGCCCACCAGGCTCCTCTATCTGTGGGATTTCCCAGGCAAGAGTACTGGAGTGAGTTACCGTTTCCTTCTCCAGGGTATCTTCCCCACCCAGGGATCCAACCCACATCTCCTGCATTACCAGGTAAACTCTCTATCACTGAGTCACCTGGGAAGTCAGGGGGAATTTAAAGTTTAGGAGAGGGGGGACCCTTTAAGAAGTATTCCCTATGGGCAATTATCTCCCTATATTTTGGGTCTGTGTGTGCATGCGTGCTAAGTTGCCTCAGTTGTGTCTGACTCTGCAACCCTGTGGGCTGTAGCCCGCCAGGCTCCTCTGTCCATGGGATTCTCCAGGCAAGAATACTGGAGTGGGCTGCCATGCCCTCCTCCAGGGGATCTTCTCCCACCCAGGAATCAAACCCATGTCTACTGTGACTCCTTCATTGCAGGTGGATTCTTTACTGCTGAGCTACCAGGAAAAGCCCATCTGGGGTCTACCACAAAGTAAAAGCAAAGAAGCAATTTATCTGGTTTGAAACAGGCACCCAGATGCCTTCTGAGTGGGCTTCCGGAGGAAGTGTTTTAGGGAGACCATTTGACAAGTTATATTTATTAGATAAAAAAGATTAAGATGGCAAATTTTACACATAGGTCAACAAAACAGAATAAAGAGCCCTGAAATAAACCCACACATATAAGGTCAATTAATTTTATGACAAATGAGCCAAGAATACATGACAGGGAGAGTCTTCTCAATAATGGTGTTGGAAAAACTAGACAGCCACACACAAAAGAATGAAACTGGACCACTATTTTATACCACACACAAAAATTAACTCAAAATGGTTAAAAGACTTGAATGTAACACTCAAAACTCTAAGACTCCTAGAAGAAGACATAAGTGGCGACTTCCTTGTCATCGGTCTTGGTGATGATTTGGGGAGTTTGGCAAAAAAGCAAAAATAAACAAATAAGACTATATTAAACTATAAAGCCTCTGCACAGCAAAGGAAACCACTAACAGGATGAAAAGGCAACTAACTGAATGGAGGAAAATATTTGCAAATCATATATCTGATATGAGGTTACTATCCAAAATACATAAAAAACTCAGACAAGTCAATACCAAAAAGTAATGTGACTTAAAAATGAAAATGTTCCAAAGAAGACATACAGATGACCAACAGTTACATGAAAAAGTACTTATTATCAAGTAAATGCAAATCAAAACCACAATGAGGTATCATCTCACTCCAGTCAGAATGGCTGCTATCAAAAAGTCTACAAACAATAAATGCTGGAGAGGGTGCAGAGAAAAAGGAACCCTCCTACACTCTTGGTGGGAATGCAAACTAGTACAGCCACTATGGAGAACAGTGTGGAGATTCCTTAAAAAACTGGAAATAGAACTGCCATACAACCCAGCAAACCCACGGCTGGGCATATACACTGAGGAAACCAGAATTGAAAGAGACACATGTACCCCAATGTTCATCGCAGCACTGTTTACAACAGCCAGGAGATGGAAGCAACCTACATGCCCAAAGGCAGACGAATGAATAAGAAAGCTGTGGTATATATACATGATAGAATATTACTCAGCCATTAAAAAGAATGCATTTGAATCAGTTCTAATGAGGTGGATGAAACTGGAGCCTATTATACAGAGTGAAATAAGTCAGAAAGAAAAAAGCCAATACAGTATACTAACACATATATATGGAATTTAGAAAGATGGTACCGATTACCCTATATGCGAGACAGCGAAAGAGACATAGATGTAAAGAACAGTCTTTCGGACTGTGTGGGAGAAGGCAAGGGTGGGATGATCTGAGAGAGTACAGATGAAACATGTATATTATCATATGTGAAGTGGATCACCAGTCCAGGTTTGATGCATGAGACAGGGTGCTCAGGGCTGGTGCACTGGGATGACCCAGAGGGATGGGATGGGGAGGGAGGTGGGAGGGGGGGTCTGGATGGGGAACACATGTGCGCCTGTGGCTGATTCATGTCGATGTATGGCAAAAACCATTACAATATTATAAAGTAATTAGCCTCCAATTAAAATAATTTTTTTAGAAAAACCACAATGAGATGTTAGAGTGGCAATTATGAAACAAGTGTTGGCCAGGATGTGGGGAAAAAGGAATTCCTTGTTCACTGTTGGTGAAAACATAAATTGGTGTGGCCACTATGGGAAATATTATAAAGGTTCTTCAAAAAGGTAAAGACAAAACTACCATATGATCCAGCAATTCCACTTCTGGGTGTTCATCCAAAGGAAGAGAAAACATTAATTCAAAAATATATATGCAGTCTCATGTTTGTGGCAGCATAATTTACAACAGCCAGGACAACCTAAGTGTCTATCGACTGATGAATAAAGAAAATGCCTTATAATACAGACAGACATATATCAGTAAATTTTATTCCGCCATAAAGAAGAATGAAATCTCCTCATCTGCAACACCAATGGACCTTGAGGGCATATGCTAGGTGAAATAAGTCGGACAGAGAAAGACATACCACATGATCTCACTTACATGTGGTATCTAAAAATAATAATAAAAAGGACAAGCTCACAGATTAAAAAAAAAAACAGATTGGTGGTTGTCAAAGACAGGCAGGTGGGCCATGCAAATGGGTGGAGAGGGTTGAAAGGTACAAACTCAGTTACAAAATAAGTAAGTCATGAGAACAATGTATAGCACGGTGACTACAGAAAATAATACTATATGAAAGCATATATGAAAGTTGCTAAGAGAGTAGACTTAAAAAGTTCTCACCACAGGGGGTAAAAACCATTCTGTAAAATATGTACAGTAATGGATGTTAGACTTACTGTGGTGATCATTTCCCAATACATACAACAGACAAATATTAAATCATTACACTGTACACCTGAAACTAATATATGTCAATTATATCTCAATTTTTATGGTAAATTTTGTATATATGTTTTTTTTACCATAGTAAAAAATTTTTTTTTTCCTTTTTAAATAAGAGAGCTTAAGTCCAGAAATCCACTAAGAGATGGAAACCTAGTCCAGAAGGTAAATGGTCCTGCCTGGGCCACTTCGGCGTGACTGGATTTCTGCCCAGTCCCTCCCTCCCCACTCAACCCCCACAGTAACAAGCGCTCATTATCTTCTTCAGACTGTGTGTGAAAGAATCAAGAAGCTCAGGAAATAAGATGTTTGGCAAACCCGAAGGGAGGCCCGAAAGTTAACTAGTTCTTTCAAATTCCCCACCCTTATATCTTTCTCTCCTAACAGGTGAGATTCTAGAGCCGGAGAAGAACGGGACTCAGGCCTGGTGGGACGACAGGGATCCGGTTTCTCGGAGGAAAGGGTCCCACCGTGGGGGTCTGCAGCTCCATATCCTAGGAGTTGTCAACCCCGGGAGTAAGTTTCAACCGTTAAAACCCTCTCCGGGTCAAACGCTTACCTCCTCCACACCTCAGAGCTCAGGTGGCCTCAGCCTACTCCAGAAGCGGCTCTACGGCCCAGAACCCGCGCGCGCTGATTGCTGAGTGGATCTGCTTCCACCCACTCCACCCAATCTGGAACTTGCTCGGCCGCTGACGAGCAGGCCGCGCCGCTGCTTCGGGATTGGTAGCCGAGCAGCTGTGAGTGTCGCGCATTTTCTGACGGTTAGGACAACATGGCGGCCGAGTGTGGTAGCGATTCACAGCTGAGGAGAAGAAGGCGCCGGGACCCGGAGGAACCGGAAAATACGGAACTCAGCGCTCGAGAGCTGGTAGTGGCAGTGCCTCATCAGAACGAAGAAGAAAATGAAGAGCGCTGGGTTGGGCCTTTACCTGTAGAGGCAACATTGGCGAAGAAAAGGAAAGGTAGCTACAGAGACAGGCACAGGGCGAGATGAAATACTGTGTCCTCCGAGTGGGAGAGTTCAAACCAGACCCCAAAACGGAGGGTGTGTGATTGTGGGGATTTATGTCGAGGGTCGTCTTCTCACTTCTGGCCGTTCTCTACTCCGAAATAGTGATTTGGACAGAGTAAAGCTTCTTTTTAATAGTACCTAACAATCTCTGGTTTGTTACAATAGTGGCTAGAGCTAACTTGCCATAACTTACGTGTTTGACACCGCTTATTTAATCCGTACAGCTGCGGTATGAGGTTGGAAGTTTTAATCCCGTTTAGCAGATGTGGAAAAGAAAACTGTTTCTATTTAAGATTTTTAGTTGAAGAGTGGTGGTAGTGTATTTGGCCACCTGGGAAGGTGGTGCCTATTTAGAGTCTTAAGGAATAAATAAGAATAATTTAATTCCTGATTCCACCAGTAATGAGTTTTCTGACAATTACAAAACTTTCCTGGATTACAAGTTTTTCACCCAAAAACCAAGATCTGTGGTTTTCAAACCATACTCGTGAGATACCATGGCCTGAAGCATTTTGCCACTAGCGTGTAATAGTGATAAAATTTTATCAAATAAAAAGGGTGATCCAAAAAAAGGGGGAGATGTTGGTGAAAGGGTCACATAAAAATGTTCTTATTTTTCAGGTTCTTTGGAATGTTTTCCTTAAACGTATAAGACCATTAAAATGTGATCTTAATGAAAGCTCAAATCTTTATTACTCTTCCAACTTAAAAATTTTAAGTGATTTCTCATTATTTTTAAAACAATGTCCAAACTCCCTAATATAGCATGTAATGCCCTTGATATGATTCGTCCTTCAGCACATTTCCATTACTTCCTCGGCCAAATCCTTGATCCTCCTTATTCTTTGTCCAAGCCATAATATAACACTAGAGAATGGGGCATGCCCTTTAACAGCTGCGAATGTCTACGTGGGTGTCACAAGGTCTACCTGGAATAATTTTCCTCACCCACTTAACTTAACCTACTGTCTTTCAACCTTTAGCTCAGCTGTTACTTTCTCTGGAAAACATGACTTTTCCAGTCTGGGCTGAGTTTCTAAAGTACATTGATCTTAAGTATGAGATGTATTTATCAGAGTGAAAATTTCATGTATCCAAATTTTGAGTACAATTTGGATACAGATACAGCAAAATTTTATGTATCCAAATTTTGAAGAAGCTACTTTTTGAAAATTGTTCCTTAACACCCTTGAAGTGCTGTTACCTTTTTTACTGCTAAGTGTTTTAAGTTAAATGTTTCCATAACAGTTGTTTCCTCATTGCACTTGCTACATTTTTAAATTGTATGTTTGTTCATGTGATTGTCTGATGAATGTTTCTCTTTACTGTTAAGACTGTAAGCATATAAGAGCAAAGACCATGCCTATTTTCCTCCAGTGCTTGGTACAGTGCTTTCCATATAGCGAGTACTCAGTAAGTATTGAATGAATGAATATTACTCTGTGTAGGTTCACAGTTATTTTCTTGCAGTTGATACAGGTCCTTTTTTGTGGAAATGAGTGGGAATGGAAAAGTCCAAAAATATCAAAGTGCTGATATTAGCATTAACGAAAAGCTTATAAACTTAATACACTTGAGACAGTGAGATGCTTATTCAAATTAATCAGTAGTGTATTCAGTTTGAAGAAAAAGTTGAAATTCAAAAACATGTATAAAATATTAGAAAAATATCACTGAAGATTTTATCTAAAAGGATAGGGGTTTAAAACTTAGTAGAAATGAAACCATCCCCTTTAACATGTTGTTTGGACATTGGACTTTTGTACACATTTTCAGAAAGATACTATAAATGGTTATATGGCTCTACCTTATATTATATGGTGCTCTCTCTGTATATGTGTTATATATTATATGGCTTTACCAATGATGGTTTTCTCAAGACAGTGTTAACTCTTCATGTCCATGTCCCTTGGAACCTAGTTTGTTTTCAGTAAATATCTGTTCAACAAGTGAACTAACAAACAGCAAAAGGAATATGCATCAGGATTAAATTTAGCTATATATTACAGAAAAATCCAAAGGACAATAAATAAAGAAAAAAATCCAAAAATGACAATAAAGATAAAAGTCCTAAAGTAGACAGTCTGGGATTGGTGTGGAGGCTCCAAAGGGTCTTCCTTCCTGGTTTTCTGCCCCAACATCACTAGGATATGGACCTCATGTTTGTCCTTGATGGTTATCTCCCAGTTTCAAACTGTCAGACTGGGGAAAGAAAGAACAGCACAACTCTTGAGGGAGACTTCTTGACTGTTACTGAACACTTCCACTTTTATTTCATTGGTACTTAGTCACTCCTAACTTCAGAGAAGGTGAGGAAGATACTATAGCTGGATGTCAGTACTCCCATATGAAAATGGAGGTTCTGTTACTGAAAATGAAGAGAGAAGTAATTTGTTGGACACAACTTTGAGCTTGCTAAATAGCAGAGATGAAAAGCCATGAAACGATCATGCTTAATTTATGAACTTTTTATGGGCATGTTTGGCCTTCATTGGATTGTTTTTAGGTACAAGTATGTCATTTTTTTACTAGTATATTTTTTATAGCTCATATCATGAAATATTTCCTCAGATTACCACTCTTAAAAATGTTTTGCCCTTGGAAAAAGTTTGAGAAGCACTCAACTGGACATTCTCTACGATTTTCTCAGCTCCAAAAATCCAAGCATTTATTACATTTACTCAAACCGAGTATCAGTTACTTCAAAGACGATCATTGCCTTCAAGATAAACTGGGATGTTCTGGATGGCCTTTGACCTCGTACTGCTTATTTAAATTAGCAGTAATAATTGGATCTACATGGTTGGAAAGTTGGTTGTGATATTTTCATGAAACTTAAGATTTTTGTCTTTTAATGGAACTTGTATGTTAAGCCAGAGCCACTCAATTCTTAAGTTCTGGGACACAGTTAAGCATCTGTATAATACCTGAGAATGATTCATGACCAAATAAATAATGGTTCTATTCAGTACCATGAAATAATAAGTTACAACTGACATAACAGACACTGGATGTTTTTCATGATGCATGAATTGAGAGAAGTTAAAATCTAAAAGAAAATATAAAATAGTATTTAGTTCCAGTTGTTAAAAAATATTTTTCTTTACTTTTTCCCCTTAGTTCTAGAGTTTGAAAAAGTCTATCTTGATAATCTCCCCAGTGCATCCATGTATGAACGCAGTTACATGCATAGAGATGTTATCACCCATGTGGTGTGCACCAAGTAAGTCTGTCTGTATTTTTTTCTGAGCAGTTTGTTGTTTTTTTAAAAAAATACTTCAGTTTTGAGGTGAATTGTAGAAGTAGCTTTAGGATATTGAGGATTTCTATTTTATTCCATAGGTTTTTAAATAGTTTATTAAATAAAGATCTACAGGCTCTTTCCTATATCATCCAAAGATGCATTCTCTAAGACCAAATTCCCTACTTTGTGTACATGTCTTTTGGAGACAAATGCCAGTAGGGGATAATCTGGGTAGTAGTAGAGCTGCCGTGAAGGAGAGTGTGCTAATAATTTGGGAATAATTGGTAGCTGGCCTTTTCAGTACAAATGGGGAAAATGATGAAATCCAAAACATTCTGGAAATGTCACAGAACCTTCAAAATGGCTGAATAGGGTTTTGTAGAAAGAATAGTAATACTCTACTCTTTGCTGAGCTCATATTATGTCTAGGTCCTGTGTCAAGGCTTTTTCATTAAAAGATTTTAAGCTTTTTCATTAATTGTCCCATTTATCTTAACAGTCTTACAAGTAGTATCCATCTCCTTTTTATAGATAAGGAAACAGGCATGTGTGTGTATAAACTTCAAAACACTAGATTTCGATAAAATCTTCAAAAATCTTTCTGTTATAGTTTGCTGCCTTAGGTTAAACAAAGAAACTTGGAGTGATAGAAAGCTAGTCCTATATGCTGCCTTATTAACTGATAACTTTCTACTAGGAAAAGAGCTAATATTTGGTCAAAATTATTCCATAAAAGGAATATAAAGATATTTAATTTAAATAGGCACAAAGTGATTTTTGCATCTGTTTTAGAAAGTAACTTCTACAATTTTATATGCAGGACAGACTTTATTATTACTGCTAGTCATGATGGACATGTTAAATTCTGGAAAAAAATAGAAGAGGGAATTGAATTTGTTAAACATTTTCGTAGTCACCTAGGTAAGAATTTCACTTTTTTTTTTTTTTTTGCTGTATTTCAACTGTATTGATTAAAGTTTCTTTTTACATTTTTTTTCCTTTTAATTATATCCATTTCTTTGGTGTTTACTAGAATGTTTTGATTTGGTTTCTTTAAATAGGAGTTATTGAGAGTATTGCAATTAGCTCTGAGGGAGCTTTATTCTGTTCCGTGGGTGATGATAAAGCAATGAAGGTGTTTGATGTAGTGAACTTTGACATGATCAATATGCTGAAGCTTGGGTAAGTCTATTTTTTTAAGTGTGTGTGTGTGTGTGTATATATATATATATATACATATATATATATATATTTTAAACGTAATGAAAGAATTCTTGAACTAAACTTCACCGTTTCATAGGTATTTCTAAACAGAATATATTACCATTCCATTAAAAAATGTGCCTTTATATTTTGCTTGGGAAAATTAAGTATTATGACTCTTCGTTATGATGTTGTTTGTGGGCTTCTGCTGTGAGTTTTGTCGTTAACTGCAACAGAGATGTCCAAGTAGAACCATAACAAGGATTAATTATATCCATTTTACACTACTTAATAATTTAATGAGTATCCATCATGTCTAATTTACTGGCATTTAAATTAACTTCCTTGTAATGCTTATTTCAGTAATATAGCATTGTGTTTTTATAAGGCTTATGCTCATTTTTGGAATTGTTGGTGATTTTAAACTTTAGAGTATATTGATAGCCAAACTATATGGTTAGACTGTGCAGTAACGAAATTAAACAGAAGACCATGGGCTGCGTAGCTTAAGCAACAGAAATATATTTTTCTCACGCTTCTGGATGTTCAGTTCAGTTCAGTCGCTCAGTTGTCTGACTCTTTGCAACCCCATTGACTGCAGCATGCCAGGCTTCCGTGTCCATCACCAACTCCTGGAGCACACTCAAACTCATGTCCATCAAGTCAGTGATGCCATCCAACTATCTCATCCTCTGTCATCCACTTCTCCTCCTGCCTTCATTCTTTCCCAGCATCAGGGTCTTTTCCAATGAGGAGATTGGAAAGTCCAAAACTTCTGGAGGTGGAAAGTCCAAAATCAGTGTTCCAGCAGTGTGTGTTTTCTGGTGAGGACTTTTCCGGGTTTCACACTTTGTCCTCATTAAGTACAGGGGAAAGAGTGGAATATTTTGCTCTTCTACTTCTTAGAAGGCCAAAGGCCTGTTGGATTAGGGCCCCACCTTTCTGACCTCATTTAATTACCTCTTTAAAACCCTTTCTCCAGATACAGTAACTTTGGGGATGAGGGCCTCACCATGTGAACTGGAGGAAGGTGGGGTTTAGAACTACATAGTTCAGTATGTGACAGTACTTTTTGGGAATTTCCTTCAAAACCAGTTTATGAACCACTAAAAGAAGTCAGTCTCATTATTTATGATTAAAAACTTATTTTTTGACTACAAATAGAAATACCTATTGATCATGTGTCATATTCCCTGCTTTGTTTCCCCCAGACTTCAGCTGTTTTTATATTTTTAATCAAATAAATATTGAACATTTGCCACCTTTGAGGGTATTGAAAGAGAACAGGCATATCTTGTTTTGTTGCACTTTGCACACACAGGTTTTTTTTTTTTTTAAATAACAAGTTTGTGGCAACCCTGCTTGGAGCAAGTCTGTACTCACCATTTGTTCCAATGGCATTTGCTCAGTTTGTGTCATTTCACATCTAGTAATTCTCATAATATTTCATTTTTCATTATTATTATATTTGTTACAGTGATCAATGATCTTTGATGTTATTGTTACAAAAAGATTACAACTTATGGAAGCCTCATATGATAATTAGCATTTTTTAAGCAATAAAGTTTTTAAATTAAGATATGTATATATACATGTAATTTTTTAGACATAATGTGATTTCACACTTTAATAGAAATACAGGTAGTGTAAACAAACATTTATTGTGCACTAGGAAAACAAAGAAAATCCATATGGCTCACATTATTGCAATTTTCAATTTTTGTGATCTGAAACCAAACCTGCAACATCTCCAAGCTATACCTGTGTCTTTTAAGATTTGATAGGAATTCTGAGAGTCCTCAAAAAGTTTTGAGTGTTAGCTCTGTCATTGGAATAACTGTAACTTCTCAGACTGATGATTTTGAAGGAGACAACACACAATTGAATACATAAGTTTAGTATGTTGATTACATCTGTCCAGTTTTTTACACTTTATCAGGTAACATGTTAAAAGCTCACAGTGTTAAGATCAAGCTACTGATAATGAGAGAGTGATACCAGAATGTTTTTCTTTTGAGCAAAACCATGACTAAAATATTTTAAATATTTCAAGAATGGATTTGTAAAGTATACTAACATGCTAACCTATTTAAAAATAAGCTATACATAGACAGGGGCTTCCCAGGTGGAGCTAATGGTAAAGAACCTGCCTGCCAATGCAGGAGACATAAGAGATGCATGTCTGATCCCTGGGTAGGAGAGATCCCCTGGAGGACCTGGCCGTGGCAACCCAATCCAGTATTCTTGCCTGGAGAATCCCATGGAGAGAGGAGCCTGGCAGGCCACAGTCCATTGTATCCCAGTCGGATACAACTGAAGTGACTTAGAATAGCACATACATAGACAGAGACATGGAGATCCAAAAAAAAAAAAAAAATTGACTCAATATAAGAACCAGGCCTGTTCGGTTTCCTTGTAAATACTTGCTGTATGAGTTCTCTTCTTGTGGTTTGATCAGTCCTCAGAAGTTATTATCATTCATTTATGAGATCAGAAAGAGAAAAATTAGTAACTTTTCCTATTCTTCCCCATTCTGTATCTCGCTGCTACTTTTGATCAAAGAATCTAAAATTGGCTAAATCACTGGCGGGGACATTTTTTGGTGATGGGAATGAGTAAGGATGTTTACAACTTGTTTTGGCCTCTTCTTATCCCCTCAATTCTTTACTATTTTAGGTATTTCCCTGGACAGTGTGAGTGGATTTATTGCCCGGGGGATGCCATATCTTCAGTTGCTGCTTCTGAGAAAAGTACAGGAAAAATTTTCATTTATGATGGTCGAGGAGATAACCAGCCACTGCATATCTTTGACAAACTCCATACATCACCTCTTACTCAGATACGGCTAAACCCAGTTTACAAAGCAGTAGTGTCTTCTGACAAATCTGGAATGATTGAATACTGGACTGGTCCTCCTTATGAGTATAAATTCCCCAAAAATGTGAACTGGGAATATAAAACTGACACAGATTTATATGAATTTGCCAAATGCAAGGCTTATCCAACCAGCATATGTTTTTCACCTGATGGGAAGAAAATAGCCACTATTGGTTCTGACAGAAAAGTTAGAATTTTCAGATTCTTAACTGGAAAACTCATGAGAGTCTTTGATGAATCACTAAGTGTAAGTACCATATAAATTTAATCAGATTTTACTTTCCTGAAAATGTCTTTAGTTTATGCTATTTCTTAAAAGATTTTTTTCTAGACATGGACATTTAGATTGATGATTAATTTGCTTATCACATTAAAGAGACTGTCTGCTGTCTTGCATTGTTACTCTTCAAAACTCTCTTCTCTAGGTTTATGATGTGATATTTTCTGAACCAGTTTTTCTTACACTTAAGTGGCTGTTTTTGTAGTTTTGTTGTTTGAAGGCTCATTCTTCTGAGATCCTTAAAATCCACGCTGGGCCTCCTTCTCTTCTCATTCTCTTCACTCCTGTCTTCCGTATGACTACTTAAAATTTTATTTCTCCAGCTTTCTATTATAAACAGACCTGGCCCTATCCTTTTAATTTATTTATTTTTGCCGTCTTCATGAATGGCACCAACATGTATCTGCTTGCACAAGCCAGAAATCTGAGTCATCTTTAACTTTTTCCTTACCCGTCTATTTAATCCTTCATGAGTCCTGTCAATTTTACTTTCTACATATACTTTAAATACATACATTTCCTTTTAGCACAGCTGTGACTACCCTGGCTTATAATCTGTTGCCTGGCCTATTGCATGGCCTACTCCCTGTATCTATTCTAGCCTCTTCCTAACCTGTTATGCATGCTCCACCCAGAGGAATCTTTTCAAAATACATTATCTTATCATGTCATCCTTTGAATCTTTCAGTGACTACCTGTTGTTTTTAGGATCAAGACCAAAATCGTGGCCTACCATATTGTACCCCTCACTACCACTTCCACCTACTCTAATTCACCTCCCTCCCTGCCTCTGCTGTACCCAATCAGGCCTTCTTTCAGTTTCTTGACTACGTCTCCCACCACAGCGCCTTTGCATATGCTGACCGTCCTGCTTGGAGTGACCCCTAGTCCCATTAATCCTCATTCCTCCCCTTACCTATTGAACTCATCCTTCAAATCTCAAAGAATCATTTCCGCCAGTGATCTTCCACTATTCTTCCAGCCTCAGACTACTTATAATTTTTAATGTGGTAGTGTATCACTATTTATTTTCTTTTAGAATATTTAGTCTTATTATTTGATTAATGTGTACCAACCCACCCCCCCAGTAGATTAAACTGTGTGTCATTTATGGTCTTCTCTCTGTTTTGCTCGTGATTGAATCTCCAGCACTAAGAATAATACCTGACATGTAATTACTGCTAACAAGAATTTATTGGGACTTTGCTAGTGGTCCAGTGGTTAAAATACAGCACTTCCATTGCAGGGGGCATGGGTTCAATCCCTGGTTGGAGAATGAAGATCCTGAATGCCTTATGGCGTAGCCAAAAAACAGGGGGAAGAAAAGAAGTATTTATTAGAGCATGTAGCTGTAGAATGAGTTTTTATCCATGCAAAGATAATTGGTTTTGTGGATATTTGAGTCTCATCATGTTTCCATCTTGTGGTTCTCTAACTGCTATTGGTATGTTGAATTCTCCAAAAGTCTGTGGGTCAAACCTTTGTAACAATAGTGTTTATTGTACAACAGTGTCAATTCTATAGCCTTTGTAGTCACCAATTTATAATAGATTCCTTGCATTAAGTGCTTCAAAAATGCTGTCACCTTATTAGTGATGTGGTAATAAGTTAGGTGAATTAGCTGCCTGAAAGAACAGGAATCCAGACAAAAGGGAAGGTTTGTATGCTAGTCAAATTATCCTCATAACTCATTTTCTTATTGGAAGAATATAGTTTTCCATTATGCTTTTGGGAAAAGGAGAAACCTTCTGATGTTTTCTTCTTTAATAGTGGCTTCAACTTAAATATTTTAAAACTCTTCACAATTTGCAACTCTTCCTAGATTCCTTAAGAAAACAAATCTATTCTCTGGATATAAATTGTTTAACACATATACATATATGAACTGTTGAATTCACTCTATTTCATTGTTGTCTTTAATATTTGTTGAAATTATAGGATTAGTGTGATAAGATCAGTAGCAAAGTATAGGACAGAAGTTGAGATTCAGGATGAGGGAGTTTGCCAAAAAAAAAAAGTTTGCGCCATTTGCAATTGGTGCAAATGCCAATTAATTTAGTAATAATGCTAGTGATTAGTTAGTGAATGATCTCATAGTTCCATGTTAAGGGTTCTAATTAGTTAAGAGTCCTAGTTTAATAGACAGATTTAATTGGATGGTGTAAAGTTGTATCTTTTGGTATTTTATTAATCAGGAGTACTGCATATGGCCATACAGAGATGATGAGATGACCAGAGATGCAGCTGTTAAAGCTAGAATATTGTAAAAAAAAAAAAAACCACCAATACAGTATATTAATGCATATATATGGAATTTAGAAAGACGGTAACAACAATCCTATATGCAAGGCAGCAAAAGGGACACAGATGTAAAGACTTTTGGACTATGTGGGAGAAGGCGAGGGTGGGATGATTTGAGAGAAGCGCATTGAAACATGTATATTACCATATGTGAAATACAAGTTCAAATTTGATGCATGAAGCAAGGCCCTCAAAGCTGGTGCTCCGGGACAACCCAGAGGGATGGGATGGGAAGGTGGGAGGGGGTTTCAGGATGGGGGGACACATGTACACCTATGGCTGATTGATGTCAATGTATGGCAGAAACCACAATATTGAAAAGTAATTATCCTCCAATTAAAAGAAATTAATTTTTTAAAAGATATTGATGTGCTTAAAAGGTTAATTAGCATTTATTACTTTTACATGGGCAGATGACCATCTATAAACTCTATTTCTTGAAAATGAATCTTCTTTCTAGCAAAAATAATCAAGGCTCCCATACTACAAATATGTAGTCTACCATCTAGGCTATTTCTGGCAAATGAATAAAGCAATAATATATCAGTTCAGAGACTGGCAGCAAGAAACCCTAATGTTCCCTAACATGTATACCTCCTTTTCATTTTTGGAGTTACATATATTGTTGTTCTTTCCATATCTAGAAAACCCAGAGGTTTTGTTAATGCAAGCATGAAAAAAAGTAGTAGGTGGGACATAAGCCTGACTGACTTCTTTTCATTTGCAATAGAGAGACACTTTTGATTTCTGCAGTTTGATGCCCTAAATGTCAGGAAAACTGAATGTAAAGATCACATCTTTGGGGAGGCTGGTAGTGTGATTGTACATAGTAACTGAGATATGACCCTTATCTTGAAAGTTGTGTATTAAATATCAAAAGAAAAGTAAACCAAATGTCCAAACTAAAGGGCACTCATAAAATTCATCCATCCTAAGTCACATTTACTTAATGATAATCTAAATATATAGTGTTGCTTCAAAATAACTTGAAACATTTTCTGAAATATGAAATTGTTATAAATTAGTGAAATCATAAAAAATAAAATTTGAGTGCTTGTTAAATGGCAGGTCCATGATCCTGGAACAAGAGCTCACAGTCCATATCTGCATTGTGCAGCTTAATAGCCACTAGCCACATAGGGTTGCTGAACACTTGGCATGTGACTAGTCCAAATTGAGCTGGACTAAAAGTATAAAATACATACTGGACTTCAAAGACTTAATATAGGAAGGAAAAAAGATTTCAATTTTTAAATATTGCTCAATATTTTAATGTCTTTATGTCGCTTTTTTGTATTATTGATTTTGCTTAATGTCTTTTGATAATATTTTAGATATATTGGGTTGAATAAAAGGTTAATTTCATGTTCATTTTTGCTTTGTTTAACATAGCTACTAAAAAATTCAAAATTACATATATGGTTTATATTGGAAAGTGCTAATCTGTGGCTTATAAAATGCAGCAGATATATTGTTTCTGCAGAAAAAGCAGTATCTTAACTCTTACTTTTTTTTAATTAGAAGAACCAGCTAGTATAACCCACTCGTGTTCTTGCCTTGAGAATCCCACAGACAGGGGAACCTGGTGGGCTGCTGTCTATGGGGTCGCACAGGGTCGGACACGACTGAAGTGACTTAGCAGCAGCAGCTAATATAAATACTATGTTTTATGATTGAATTTTCTAATTCAGTTCCTGCTTATAGTGTTTAGAGTACTCCTTAAGAAGATATATAAGTACATAAACTGTCAGTGGCTATTATTGGACACTCTGCTTTTATTTAAATTCCCCTTCCCTTTATCATGTAACATTATTTTTGTTAATAAATGGTTTGTTTCCTAGATGTTTACTGAACTGCAGCAGATGAGGCAACAGCTACCAGACATGGAATTCGGTCGACGGATGGCTGTAGAACGTGAATTGGAGAAGGTGGATGCAGTAAGATTAATTAATATAGTTTTTGATGAAACTGGACACTTTGTGCTGTATGGAACAATGCTGGGCATTAAAGTTATAAACGTAGAAACAAACCGGTAAGCTTTAATATCACATATGCTTTTTAAAAATTTACTTCTAAAGGACCATTTCCTCCTTTGGGGAAACAATGGGGGTTTTGTTTGTTCCAAGACAAGTGGAATGGTCCCAGATGTCTAAACTTAACCAAATGTTTTGACTGGATTTTTCTGTGGTCTTTTGGTTGTTTATAATCTTATGTAAAAAGTTTCCACTCATGTTTGTTAAAGAAATGGAAGAAAGATATGCATAGTTTCAAGTTGTTGTTTTTTTTTTTAACAAGTTTCAGTCTGTCTTTTGCTTATTGATTTAAATTAGCCTGTTTCATGTTAAATGTTGCCAAATATCTTAACCACAGAATTCAGCACTACATCCTGCTAGACATAAAATCAGAAGTTAAAATGCATGAAACCACAATAAGCCTTTTGTGCAAATAGCCCATTTGGTCTTAGAACAAAATTGCTATAATCAGATACTATCACTGAATGTAAATGAAAAGAACTTACAGTATATTTAAAGGAAAAAAATCTTGTGCTGTACATTATTTTCACATATAAACAAATTTATATTGTAGTTCTTGGCAATACAGAATCTTTGAAGGCTTGAAGAAAGATTAAAATGATAGGGATAGGTTAAAACTGTTTAACTGAATGATTTTATTTTTTTAATCTGAAAATTATAAACACCTACCAATTGAAAATAACTTTTTGGGGGGAGTGGGAGAGGCAGAAAAATACTTTTTAAAAACCTTTTACTGGTTATTTTGTACAAAAATAAAAGATAGTTGATTCCTAGCTTTTATCTGCAGAGTTGGTATAATTGGAGTTAATCCTGATAATTTTATTATATGTATTTTCCAGGTGTGTGCGGATCTTAGGCAAGCAAGAAAATATTAGAGTGATGCAATTGGCTTTGTTCCAGGGAATAGCCAAAAAACATCGTGCTGCAACTACTATAGAAATGAAAGCTTCTGAAAACCCAGTTCTTCAGAATATTCAAGCTGATCCAACAATAGTCTGTACATCCTTCAAAAAGAATAGATTTTATATGGTATGTGGAAGTATCAATACCAGGAGATAGTGTTTAATGTTTCTTCCAGCTTGACTGGAGTTTTATTTTTTTAGCTTGTGCTTTTCCCTGGTAGCTCAGAGGTTAAAGCGTCTGCCTGCAGTTCGGGAGACCTGGGTTCAATCCCTGGGTCGGGAAGATCCCCTGGAGAAGGAAATGGCAACCTACTCCAGTATTCTTGCCTGGAGAATCCCATGGACGGAGGAGCCTGGTGGGCTACAGTCCACAGGGTCACAAAGAGTCGGACACGACTGAGCCACTTCACTTTCACTTTCAACTGAAGAGAATGTTGGCCATAATAGCAGACTTTCTAAACAACCAGAATACCATCTTATAACATTAGTATTGTAGACTCTTTAACTAGGATTTAAGTATTTCTGTACTGTTTTACATCCTGTTTTGAACTAGTTTTCAACCTAGCTTCTACAACTATTTGTGTTGTCTAAGACAATAGGAAGTAAGTGGCTGTGGTAATAATTGCATCCAAAATTTATTTTTCCTGTGGACTTTTAAAAATTCTTCTGTTTTAGTATTATTCACCTTTTACTCTTCAACATGACTTGCACATTTCCTTCTCTAGATACAAATCTTTTTTCATCTTTTGATTCCATTGTAATGATGCTACTGTGGTGTACATTCCTGAGAGATATTTTTCTTCTGGAAAAATTAAAAGTACTTTCCATGTTAAGTAAGATTGGACTCAAAATCAAACTACTAAGCTATCTAGGAGTAACACTGTTTTAATTTTGTTTAGTCAAGCAGAAAAATCTGAAGTGTAGAGACCTCTGCCTCTGTATCTGTCTTTTACGCTTAACAACTTTCTAAAACCAGGTGTGATTATTTTTTTGCCTAAAATCCTTAAATGACTACCCAGCTGTCTATATTAACCACTTTCCTAGTTTATCTTTCTTCATTTTTAGTTCATTGGCTATACTGAACTTGATCCCACTTGCAGGACTTGATGTTATTTTTACTTGGTGGTATTTGCCCAGGCTATTCCTTCTGTCAGCCACAAACCTCTCCCCAGTTCCTTTCCATACTTCAGGTCTCAGCCGGGAAGCCTTCTCCTGACATCAAGTCTGGATTAGGTGTGCCTGCTTGTGTACATGTCACACTTTTTGGAATAATTTGGTGATTTGGGGGGGGGGGGGGGGGGGGGGGTCTCTGACACTGTCCTCTCTTCCTCAAGATAATATAAAATCCATAAATACAGAGCACTGTGTTTTCTTCACATACCAAACTCCACAGAGTTTGGTGAATCGTCTGACCCATTATAGGATACTCATTCATTGATCTGACAATTTACAAGCAGCTGTGATGCTCTGAAGGTTACCAGCATTTGGTAAATGTGGGAAATAGCAATTTATCTACTCCAGCCAAGCTTTTAGCCTAAAATGGATATATTCTTTTAAGATAAGAATTTTGCTTATAAACTTTCAAATTCACTGCTAAAGATTTATTAATATATATGTTAAAGAAAAATACTTTTTCTTGTTATTAGCTATAATTTAACTGTTTTGAAGGTGAAAAGAAATCATAAGAGACAGTTCTTAATATACACTAAATTTAATTTTCATCCACTTTATTTAAAAATTGTCTTTCCCCAGTTTGTTGATTAAACCACACATGTTCCTTAGAAATTCTGAAGAAAAAGAAAAATAAAAAAGTAAGTCACTCACTGAGTATTTATACTGCTAACATTTTCATGATTTATTAGATGTACATATTCTTAAATAAAACTAAAATGGTATTCATACATACAAATTTTATATCCCTTTTTTCAAATCCAGTACCATAAAATTGTATAAAATTTGAACTTTAATAGTTCTATATGTGAACTAAATCAAGATAATTTTAAAAATTCATATAACTAAACAGTGGAACAAACATGCCATTCTCTGGGAACTGGAGAATACTGTTAAAGCAGTGACGTGCTGGCTTAGTTGTTCCCTCATCTGGAGTTGCTCCAGGCAGACCAGGGCCTACCATTAGGCAAACAGAGCATGGGCTCTAGATGGACCTTTCTGGAGCTCAGTTAGCATCACCTTTCTTAGGGAGAAAAGATTTCTGCTTACTGAGAGTCAAAGAGTAGGCCTTTAGAAGTCCAGAATTTTAACAACTGAAAGTTTTTTCTCAATTCTCTGTAGACTTGAGGATCCTGAGATTTCTGCTTCATTCAAAATGTACTGTACGTCCTTTCTTCCAAGCTTCAAGGTTTAGATAGATCAGATGGGACTCTGTCCAAAAAAAAGAGAAGGTCAAGGTCCACTACTGATTCATCTTTGAATCCTCATCCTACCAGCACCAGGTCCTGTTCATAGTAATAACAATTACTAAGATGTATATATTGCCTTCTGTGTTAGGCACTATTCTCTAAACACTTTATATCCTTCATTTAATCTTCATATCAGGTGTCATTTTGAGGTATTTATTATTATCATCCTCTTTTATGAGTAAGAAGATGAAAGTAATGAATTTACTTCCCCAAAGTCATGTAATTAGCTAAGTGGCAAACTACAATTCAAACCCAGGCAATCTAAATTGTGAAAAGCAAGCAATAGATGGCAGGTTACGTAGGACATACTAGAAGGCAGAAGCAGAGAGCTACCTAAAAACTGCCTATTTTTTAAATGGGTACCCCAAAAAATTTTCACCAAAAAAGATATTAAATTCCATTTGAAATCATTCATCTTCATCATATGAATTTTCTCATTAGGCAAATGTAGAAATTTAGTTGTCTTGCACATCCTATGATTGGAAGCAGTTCCTGAAATAAGCATTTATTCTATAAATGTAAATTCTTAGTTTCCTCAAATACTTCATTATAAATGCAATTTTCTTGTTCATAAATTTTAACCAGATGAAAAATTTAACTCATTTACTTACTTTTTATTTTCCTCCTTGAGTTTACTAAACGAGAACCAGAAGATACAAAAAGTGCAGATTCTGACCGAGATGTTTTTAATGAGAAACCTTCTAAAGAAGAAGTCATGGCAGCTACTCAAGCTGAGGGACCTAAACGAGTGTCAGATAGCGCCATTATCCACACAAGCATGGGAGACATTCACATCAAACTCTTCCCTGTTGAGTATGTACTGTGTCTGTTGTCGTAAGTAAATACCAGTGTAAATGTGTATATTTGAAGGAACTTCAACTTCTTATTTCGACTTAAGGTATTTTGAAAAATTGAACTGTGTTAGATAAAACATCTTTCCTGAGCTCTCTGATAATTGTTACATTAGAAAATGTGAAAATTTTATACATACATACACATATTTCACACGTTTATTATTATGAGGACAAAATATAGTAGATATGACAGTGCTGAATGTAAACTATAGATTGACATACAAATGTATATTCCTGCTGCCATCAACTACACATGCCAACTATAGGTTTTGTGGTTCACTTGTTATAACTGGCTTTCCTCTCAAATCTTTAAGGGGAGGATAATTATTTTTCCTTCCTGACATTTGAGTTTGCAGAATGAACATACAGTACCAAATACAATGCAATACAACTGGTTATTCTTGATCCAAAAGAAGACATCTTTTACAGTGCCTTGATTTAAAGTACTTTTGTTATTTTGATATGGATGTTTTATGTCCAATATTTTACCGTATCTTGACACTGGACAAAAAACTAGGCAATTCTAGACACCTGGACTATCTCATTTTAAGTAGAGAACCCATGCATCCACTAATCCTGTTCCCTGATGTGCTTGGTACAAGATTCTCTTGATTCTCTCTGCCATTCTTAGTGTTGGGAGCTATTATATGATAATATACAGTATTAAATCATCTCATAAGATTAGTTAATATTATTTAGAAAGTGTATCTGAGTGTGTGACTATCATTTAAAGTTTATTAGATTTAGTTGCTGTCATAGCAGTGAATAAGTCCTTGGTCAGGAAATGTCACCATACTATAACATTGTTTTTATAAGAAAATTACCTTTCCCAGGACTATATACAGTGGGTTATGGTGCTATGGTTATATTTTTAAAAAATACTAAATGACTTTGGAACCTAAATACTCTCAAATTGAAGTAAAATAAGCAGTTGTGATCTAAAGATGGTATATTATATAAACTATAAGAACAGGCTACTGCCTATATGCCCTGTCAGCTCTTGCTTCTGCTGAGATCAGAAGAAATTATGAAAAAAAAGGACTGTCCTGAAACATTGAAAAGATTCTGAAAATACCATTGGGAAGCCAAACTACAAAGAAAACTTTCCTAAGATGCTCCATTAAATTTTCATATTTTTAATATATGTCTCACTAGGTGCCCGAAGACAGTGGAAAATTTCTGCGTTCACAGCAGAAATGGTTATTATAATGGACACACATTTCACCGCATAATTAAGGTAAGTTATGCAAATTTTATATGATTGAAGGAAAAGTATGTTATTGTATAACAAGAGGTTTAGAACCTAAGGAATCTCATTCACACTTAGCACTTTATTAGGAATAGGAAAAATGGACTATGGAAGTCAAAAGAATAATGGATGATCATGAAAATCAGATATAAAATCAAGGATAGGGACAGTAGCATGGTAGCCTTTTTAGAAACACTGCAGCAGTCTTTTGTCAGCAGTTAAAGGAAAGGATCAGGTAATGAGTAAAGGGTCTTGCTGAGATAAAATCAACAGCCAAGGTAACCTGTTTCTAGTGGCTAGATAAGGTCTAGATCTAGATTAAGTGTTAGAAGAGCCATGTTGCCACTTTATCTGCCCGTTTATCTGTGAAAACTACCACTAATACCTGATGAACAGAATGAATTCAGCCCAGGTTTTTGTTGAGTAACAGTCCATGCAATGTATGGAGCAGTGAGGTAGTTCTTGATTACTGGCAGGTCAGAAATGGCAGAAGAAATGTCAGATGGAAAAATTAGATTTCAGAGTTCTGAAGGAATTGGTGAAGTGACTGACTAGGACATTCAGAGTGTCTAGGGAAAGGGGAGAGAAAAGAGTGAGCCAATTATATAAGACCTAACACATTAAACAAGATCCTAAAACTTACCTACCCTATTAATTGGCTTTAATTAAAGATTATTGAGTGAGATAGTGCCTGTCTATAAATGGAAAGACTTTTACATTTTTGTTTCCATCATTGAGATAAGATGGCAGTAATGCAATGAAAATATATAATCTAAATTAAAGTATAACCAAGGGTTTACTTTAAAATCAGTTTATAGAATGACTTAAGATTTTATTCAATATAAAGCACTCTTGACAAACATATGACTCCAAAGCATACATATATGTAATATGTGTAATATTACTTTGTCTACTTTCTGTTAAGGGCTTCATGATTCAGACAGGAGATCCAACAGGTACTGGTATGGGAGGAGAAAGTATATGGGGAGGAGAATTTGAAGATGAATTTCATTCAACATTACGACATGACAGACCATATACACTCAGCATGGCCAATGCTGGATCGAATACTAACGGATCCCAGTTTTTCATAACAGTAGTACCAACAGTAAGTAGAACATGCATGTGTGTGTGCTAAATCGCTTCAGTCATGTTTGACTCTTTGCAGCTCGATGGACTGTAGCCTGCCAGGCTCCTCTGTCCATGGGATTCTCCAGTCAAGAGTACTGGAGTGGGATGCCATGCTTCCTCCAGGGGATCGTCCCAACTCAGGGATCGAACCCATGTCTGTTATCTCTCCTGCATTGACAGGCAGTTTCTTTTCTACTTGCGCCACCTGGGAGGCATTTTCTGTAAGCCAAAGATTCATGGGTTTTGATCTAAGAGAGTGAATTCAGTGGAAAAGAGAGCTTTATTATTCTCTATTATTTATATATGCTAGGATATAAAAATGAAAACAATTTAGAAAGGAAAATGGAAAATTACCTAACAGATAAGACTTTACTTTATAAACAATACTTTTGTAATTCAGGCCACGTGAGTTTAAGTCAGCTTTGCACTATTTGAGGGACTAACAAATTATTCTACCTCTGGGCTTGTTTCCTCATCTTTAGAATAGTAGGATTAGAGTATAAGAATTCCCGATTTTAATACATTTTTTCCCACATTTTTCTATCTCTGAAATCAGAATGCATTTTCCAGCTCCCTTTGATCTAAAAGATGCAGATATTAAACATTAAGCTTTTTTATTTTTTATTATAACATGGAACTGCTCTTAAAAGCTTCTAAGTGAAAATACATCTTTTAATTATATTTTAAAATGAAGCCAAAGTTTAATTCTTTTTAATCAAACTGTAGCTTTCATGAAATACATGTAAGAATATCTAGCTCTATTGCTATGCAGTTCTACAAAATTACAAAAACTCTTTTATTTTTTAGAATTAAATAAAGAAAACAATTTATAACTACTGTCTGCCAGGTACATGATCTCATGTAATCTTCACAATACTTCTAGGTATTATTATGAAAGTGAAAGTGTTAGTCCCTCAGTCATGTCCGACTCTTTGCAACCCCATGGACTGTAGCCCATCAGGCTCCTCTATCCATGGGATTCTCCAGGCAGGAATACCGGAGTGGGTTGCCATTTCCTTCTCCAGGGGATCTTCCCCACCCAGGAATCAAGCCTGGGTCTCCTGCATTGCAGGCAGATTCTTTACCTTCTGAGCCACCAGGGAAGCAAGTTTTAAAAAACAGATGAGGAAACAGTGAGACCTGATGAACTTGCCAAAGGTCAAGTAAGTAGCAGAGCCATAGTCTGAACTCCTATCTCTGATGCCAGAGCACATGATGCCTAAAGTAATTTGCTCATCCAGTGGAAGTGATTTAAGAATTTAGAGTTTACCAAGATTTTCTATTTGTCCTCCAACACAGCCTTGGCTTGATAATAAGCACACAGTGTTTGGACGAGTGACTAAAGGAATGGAAGTTGTACAAAGGATCTCCAATGTCAAAGTCAATCCCAAAACAGATAAGCCCTATGAGGATGTCAGCATCATAAATATTACTGTCAAGTAAAATAGATTTGTCTCATTGTCTGTATAAATAAAAATACACATACATTAAACACAGGATTATTTTACATAAGGAAGGTCAAGATTTGCTGAATGTACAAATCATGTTTCAGGGATTCAGTATTATATTTGTGTATTTTTCATTAAAGGCTATTTTTTAAAAGCTCTGCCTCTTGAGTTTTCTTGCAGTATTTCTCATCCTAAGAGGTGATAAACTCAAATGGACTAAAACTCAAGCAAATAGCACTCTTTATACATAATTTCTCAAGTCTTAAAAAACATATTAAATAATGAGAATGGTATGCATTTGTTCCTCAGCTTTTTAAAAACATGCCAAATAGTCTGCCCTCAAATGTTTCTTTAGATCTTAATAAAGGGCATCTTTGGTGATATACTATTTCATTTTTTACAAGGTTTGTCTTTCACACCAAATAGTTTTGTCTTTTGAGCACTCACAGTTCTGTCACTCAGTTATGTCCAACTCTTTCCGATCCCGTGGACTGCAGCATGCCAGGCTTCCCTGTCCATCACCAACTCCTGGAGCTTGTTCAAACTCATGTCCATCGAGTCAGTGATACCATCCAACCATCTCATCCTCTGTTGTCCCTTTCTCCTCCTGCCTTCAATCTTTCCCGGCATCAGGGTCTTTTCCAGTGAGTCAGTTCTTTGCATCAGGTGGCCAAAGTATTGGAGCTTCAGCATCAGCCCTTCTAATTCAGGACTGATTTCCTTTAGGACTGACAGGTTTGACCTCCTTGCAGTCCAAGGGACTCTCAAGAGTCTAAGTAAGTGGTAAGCAAAATTTAAATAAACAGTAAGTTCCTCTGGTCAAAAGTGTTAAATTCCTGAATAATTATGAAATATTCTTCAAATAAAAGAATCAGAATAAATGAATACCTGAGTCCATGGTTTTATATAATAGTTCATTTACTATTTTCACATCATTGTAGCCAAACAACTTTTGTCTTCAGGTTATAGTTATCTCTTCTTATCTTACAAAATACATCATCAAGAAAACTACATATTGAGTAAAAATGTTAATATCTAACAAGGGAGAGATTAGTAGAAATTAGAACAATGTGAGTTTAAGTCTTAAACTGATTTCTTCACCCACCCTCATAAATTACTTCATAACTTCAGAATGACTGCTTCTACTTTCCAAACAAACTCTTAGGAACTTACAGGAGGAACATGTTCAACAGACCTGTTTAGGAAATTCACATTCTCATATCTAAGCTTATACTTTTCCTTCTACTGATCAGCAGGATTACTTCCTTTACCCATTTTGTACCACAAACTGATGGAAGAACATGCCTTAACTTCTAATACTGTGTCCTCCTTTTAAAAAGAACTAAAACTGGGACACAAAATGACTTTCCACTATGACATTTACCTTTTCCCCCTAATTTTAGGTGTTTAGACTTACCTATCAATTCATTCATAAAAGCTTAATCCTAAACTTTGGGTGATAACTACCACCAAGTGGTGGTGGTGATGCCTCCTCCCCAAAATACAATTATTTTTGCTTTGAGAGGAAATCATGTTTGATTAATGAATTTTTCTATTCTATGTCACAAATTTACCATAATCAGTAGACCTAAAAAATATACATTGCCATATGTCTATTTTAAAGCATGTTGTAAACTATTAGCAAGATACTGATGCTTACTCATTAGCCCTTTTCACTTATTACTCTTTATAGGGAAAAGTACAGCTATTTTCTTCCTTATTACCACCTTGCAAATTGAGAAGTATCTCAGTGTTACATAAAAAGTCTTTCTTTTAGCAATATTAGCTCAGGATATAACTAGGTTTTCCAAGGCCTTTTCTGAAAACAGTCACTTAAAATATGATACTCTGTGTGAAACAGGTTAAATTAAAAATTTTAAAAGCAACTATTTCACTTTAGTCAGTGCAGAATTTTAGCTCTCCTTTAAAAAACACTACAGTTTTAATACATATTTAAATGTGACGTAAGTTGCAAATAAAGAATAACATTTCTAAACTTTTAATAAACTATCTCAATTTGACATTGAAGTCAATCCCTATCCCATTTTGTTTTGTTTCTCTTAACCACAGCACAAATATGACTTTAATTGGTTACTAGCAATACTACTATATAGATGATTCAAGAATTTTTAGAAAGATGATAGGATTTCTTTAAAGTGATCTTAACATTTTATTGCTATCCATTCTGATGATTTGTATAATGCAAATAATGGCTTCTGGTGATTATAAAGCATTCCAGAATTACAGACCAAGACTATACACTTGAAAAACCTGCTTTACGTAAACTATACAATAGTATTTAGCTTAATACAGAAATTCAGTGCCAGGAGGCAAATCCAAATAGACTGTATTTAAAACCTCTCAAGTTTGACATTTCCCAGCGGGAACTAGCGCAGTCTTGCTAATAATTAGTGAAAGTACAACCAGAAATAGAAATAAGAGCCTGAAAAAAACTTCTTAAAAAATAATAAATACTACTACTAGATACATTATAATCAGGTCTAAGCACAATTTTTAAATTGTGTTGTAGAAATATGCTAGGAATGTGATTTAAAAGTCAAGCAAAACTGGTAAAATAAATTTACAGAAGAAAGCAAGTTTACATATTAGTGTTAGACTGTTTTTGAATTACCTAGTAGACAAAACAGTTCAAGGGCTCACAGGCAAATGTAACACGTTTTTTTATTTTTCACAGTTATTGCAATCAAATATTAATTTAATTCAGAAGTATTATATGCACAAACTAGTAATAGCATGACCTTTTCTTGAAAAATAAAGAATGAGATATTACATTTACTTGCTTACACACTGCCCATAACTGATGGATTTTTTTAATGCTTTGTTTTCTAAAAGTTTCGTTGTTTTTAAATGAAATATATTTGAAAAGACAACCAAAACAGTGCCATCCAGAAGTCACATCTTGTCATCAGCCATTGTAAGGATTTAACCTCATCCTAAAGTATGTGCTGAGTCATACCTGGCTCTGTGACTCCATGGACAGTAGCCCACCAGGCTCCTCTGTCCATGGGATTCTCCAGGCAAGAATACTGGAGTGGCCTGCCATTCCCATCTCCAGGGGATCTTCCCAACCCAGGTACTGAACCCGTGTCTCCTATGATGGCATGTAGATTCTTTATCAAAGAGCCCTCTGGGAAGCACTTCATCTAAAGTATAAAGAGCATTAAAAAAAAAACCTATAAAACCCAATCTAGGTATTTTTAAATATAAAATTAGACTGCCATAATAAGGGAATGTCCTTAAAAAGTGAAAAACAGTAAAGAGCACACACTTTAAATTTTTTACTCACAACCCTGTAATAAATGTGAAATAAACTTTTTATACATTTCTTCTTTTCCTTTCGTAGACATGTTTCTCTCAAACCACCTCTTAAGGCCTTATCATGAAAATCCTTGATCACATTTTATTGTTTAAATAAATGCACTTATTTTGGGAAAACATTTTAAGGTAATCATTTCCACTGCTTAAATAACTTCTCTTGAGGTAGAGGTAATATCTACTTCGATCTCTACCTTTTATGTAAGACCAACACTGGCTTCTGCGTATAACTTACTACATTTTACCTATAGTCATTCTCCTTAAAGATGCAATATTATTTTTAAAAAACACACTACTAAGTACTTTATATTGAAAAATAGAAGCACGAATTTAGAACTCTGACCTTGGAAGTAATACATCCAGGTTCAGCTCTGCAAATCAGTCTTTTCATAAGTGAAGATCAACTAGAATATAACTGACTTTCACAGTTTTTTATTAATTGTTCTTCAGTGTAGTACTGACCTGACAACATCAGGCCTAGTTGGATTACATTTCATTCTAACTTACTGGGTTTTATACAAAAGGCTTTAAGAGAGCTTTAATCAAATACTGTATAAAATATTAATCTTCTATAGCTTATAGTTCTTAGCATTAAAGATGTTCTGTTATACTGAATATTAAAGTAATCCTATTACCCAAAGATGCAGTTTGGATTTTATCTCATTAAGTCACTGCCTTTTTTGCTACTGCATACTGCCAAAATCCAGTGAAAAGGCAAGTTAAGAAGCCATGCTTCACCTACTTCATACAGAGAGTCCATTAGACACTTGGTTGGCTATTCTTTCTTTGAATGAATAAACCTTCACCTGCTCTTTCACTGTGACTACTTACCTCCCAATGCTGGATTGAATACTAATGGATCCCAGTTATTCATACCAGTAGTACCAACAATAAGTAGAACATGCATGTGTGTGTGCTAAGTAATCTGTGTGTACACACGTAATCTGAAAAACTTAACAAATGTATGTTTTAAAAAAATGCATATCCAGTAAGTCCCTGTTTAATCCAATTTAATCTGCTCAATCAGCTATTTAAATTTTACTACAGAGTTTTTAAAAGCAATATTGTACTGAATTCCCAATCCAAGATTCCTATATATATATCGTAAATTAACTATCTTTCAGATGTAGAATTTCTTACATCATGTTATGTGCAAAATAACTCTTAACCACAAAACTTTAAACAACTGCTACATTTAAAATCAGGCAACGTCCAATACTCCAGCAGCCACAAGTTGGCGTGAGAGCCAGTCCAATCCTTCATACAGTCCTGTACCACTTCGAGCATCACAGCCCTGAATATACCAGCTTCGGCCACGGCACAATTTATGGAGACTAAGAAGCTCAGTGATTTCTTCTACTGACAGAGCTCCAGCAACATCCTAAAAGATATATATACATCAAAAAAATTTTTCGTAAGTCTATGCAAATTAGCATTTTTGTAATTATTGCTATATACAGTTCTGCTGATATCACTTTTAACAGAAGCCTAAAGTTAAAACCTAAATTCAACTTTCAGTAATTATTCAGAGATTAATGAGAACAGAAAAAGAATTGTTTTGGTTATAACAGTCTGAAAGAACAGTCTTTAAAAAAAAAACACTTGGCTGCATGAGCTCACAGGATCATCCTTGTGTCACGTGGGATGCTGCACTGGAGCACATGGACTGTAGCTGTGGCACAAGGTTTTAGCTGCTTCAGGCATGGGGGATCTTACTCCCCAAACAGGGAGCACACCAGCATCCCCTGCGCTGCAAGCCAGATTCTTAACCACTGGACCACCATGCAATAGTCTTGCAATGAAATCAATGAAGGCTGTGCCCCCTGAATGAAAGAGACTGCCCGTGTCATTATAAGGCATCTACTTAAAAGGAAATTAATACATGTATATCATAAGAAATGGCTCTTATGTAGGGTTTATAAAGAGTTTATTAAACTCTCCCAGGAAATTCTCTGACGGTCCAGTGGATAGGACTCACTGCTTTCACTGCCAGGGACCCAAGTATAGTCCCTAGTAGGGGAACTAAGATCCTGCAAGCTGTGCAGCAAGGCCAACAACAAAAATCTCTCCAAAGAGCCCTGAATACCCTTCTTCCCAGAAGCAGCCATCAGTAACAATTTCTTTCATATTTTCCCAGAAAACTTCTATGCACACTCATGTAAATGAACAGGACACATTCTAGTTTTTTTTTGTTTGTTTGTTTTCTTAACACATATATTGAAAATAAAGATACCTTTCCATTGTCAGGACAAGCAGAAAAAATTTTCCACCAGTATTTTTAACTTCTGTATTGCATTCTACTGTAGGTGTAACATAATTTTCTTAACCAGTCCTATACTGAATATTTACATTGAAAATATGTGCTTATGTGCTATTACATATGCATATACATGTAGGTAAACATGTTTTTAAATACATACACTTGCAAAATTATCTCTAAGACAACCTTAGGATATCTGTCTACAGAATACATTACTAGAGAATTACAGGGTAAAAGGGTATATGCATCTAAACAGTACTTTTTATGTGCAGTACTTTGACAAAGTACTGCCATATTGCCCTCCAAGAAAATATCTCACATTAATAACCACACCAGCAGTGTATCCATGTCTGAGGATTATCAAACATTTTCATCTTTAACAAGATGATAAATGGGAAATGGTATTTCACTCTGCCTTATTTGCATATCTTTAATCATAAAGTGAAGTGTATCAGTTCTTAATAGCTTGCCATTTTTTTAAATTAAGGGGAAAATCCTTACTGTCTACCCAACTCTTCCTTCTTATGACATCTAAGCCACTTTATCACTCTAAAGAAAAGCATTCTTATCCTCCTAGAAGCTGTGTCAAAATCTAAGAATCTTCAGCTGCCACAGTTTGAAAGTATCAGTTCTTTGGCGCTCAGCATTCTTAATGGTCCAACTCTCACATCCATACATGACTACTGAAAAAAATCATAGCTTTGACTATATGGACCTTTGTTAGGAAAGTGCTATCTCTGCTTTACTAAGTCGTCTAGGTTTGTCATAGTTTTTCTTCCAAGGAGCAAGCATAAAATTTCGTGGCTGCAGTTATTGTCCACAGTGATTCTGGAGCCCAGGAAAATAAAATTTGTCACTGTTTCCACTTTTTCCCTGTCTATTTGCCATGAAGTGATGATCTTAGTTTTTTGAATGTTGAGTTTTAAACCAGCTTTTTCATTCTTCTCTTTCATCCTCATCAAGAAGCTTTTTAGTTCCTCTTTGCTTTCTGCCATTAGAGTGGTATCATCTGCATATCTGAGGTTGTTGATATTTCTCCCATCAATCTTGATTCTAGTTTGAGTCATTCAGCCCGGCATTTCGCATGATGTGACAACAAACAGCTGTGTGGCATACTACTTTCCCAATCTGGAACCAGTCTGTTGTTCCATGTCTGGTTCTAACTGCTGCTTCTTGTCCTGATACAGGTTTCTCAGGAGACAGGTAAGGTGGTCTGGTATTCCCAGCTCTTTAAGAATTTCCACAGTTAACTGTGATTCACACAGCAAAGGCTTTAGCATAGTCAGTGAAGCAGAAGTAGATATTTTTCTGGAATTCTTTTGCTTTTTTCTATGATCCAATGGATGTTGTCAATTTGATCTCTGGTTCTTCTGCCTTTCTAAATCCCACTTGTACATGTGGAAGTTCTCGAGTCTCGATACTGTTGAAGCCTAGCCTGAAGGATTTTGAGCATTACCTTGCTAGCATGTGAAATGAATGCAACCATATGTAGTTTGAACATTCTCTGGCATAACCTTTCTTTGGGACTGGAACGAAAACTGACCTTTTCCAGTCCTGTGGTCACTGCTGAATTTTTCAAATTTGCTGGCATATATTGGTCTCCATGATGCGCTCTAAAAATATTCATGTTTTTATTTTTTCTGTCTGTAGTTGTTCTTTGCTTCACATACTAATTCAAAGTATTATCTATAATTTCAATTCAAATCCTACTTTTTATAAATCTTAGAAAATACAACCTTTAGAACTACTCTCTAATTTTCCATAATACTTTAATATTACTGAAGTCACTTAGCAGTCTTCTTATTAATCTGCACTTAGCAGTATCAGAAATAAACACTTAACAGGCAAACCTAAATACATAGGAGTTTCTGGTGAGTATCAACTACCTTATTTCTTTCTGTATACTCCAAGGTACCAAGTACAGCACCTTCCATATAGACTGCATTCAAAATACAATGCAGAAACTTTATATCTTCTGAGTTATTTCTCTCAAAATCTTAACAGTTACCTTATAATGTGGAATGCTAAAATAAATATTCTGAAATACAAATATATTACCTGTTTGTTAGCAAAAATCAGGAGTAAAGCATCTCGGAGTTCTTTTTCCGTTAACAACTTTGCAAGTTCACTGTGTGCTTCACTAACTCTGTCTCTATGACTGCTATCAACAACAAACACAACAGCTATCAAAAAAAGACAGAAATATTCATTTAGTCGCTTGTTCAATTTCAGTAAGTGGGCTAAATATTTTAATGTTATATTATGGTGAGTCTACCATCATTTATTTTCACAGGAAGGCTGCCTATTATAGGAGCACCTAGGAATAATTAATGATATGATCTCAAGCAGTTCACCTAACTTTTGGTCTATTTCTTCCTCATTAATAACAGGATTTACAACATTTGCACTACCAAACACATATTGCTTTGCATATCATTTAATATTTTTCTCTTAATGAATGAAAATGTACTTCTCATGATCTACCTACTGATGCTCCTTCTTTGATTACTTTACTTTGATTACTCTACTTCCTTTACCAAAAGATAGTCTTTTAAAAATAAATAAGTCACCAACTTTATCTCTCCAAGGTATTCTCTTTAGGTGCCTGGCACAGCACTTTCCATAAATTGTACTCAAAATACACAGCAGAAACTTGATGAATATCTACTGAATTGTCTATTGAAACCTTTCCAGCTATCTAATGGCAGCTAAACATCCTAGGCTTTCAACCATTCCTCATGTTCAAAATTCCATTTCTTCCCCTTAATCACTGGCTCATACTAACCTAATATCAAAAATTTCAAAGTAAAAATTATCTGATCTTTCTTCCAGCTGGAAAACAGGACGATATATGGAACAGGGAGCATGAACAAAGCTTTATGCTGGGGTACAGGAGGCAAAATGTACAATTCATTTATGTGAATAAATGCTAAGTGGAATGTATGTCACATAACAGGGTTTGGTTAAAATCAAACCACTATGGGTTCTTCTGCTGATGATAACTAATTGTGAATGAAAATAAAGGAGTGGAGCTATTTAGAGATTATAATGGGATAAATGTTGAGTTGAATTGAACTGAATAGAGCAATAGAACTATACACCACAAATTCTACCCTATACCACACTACTGCCAATGATTATACTCATATGAACACTAATAATACTCTTTGTTAAGAATACCAAGAAGATAGTACCCTTAATTGCTTACATGTATAAGATAAATATTGTTATCATTTTTCATGAAATATACCAGAGTACATATCCCAGTCTATCTAGCTTAATTTTCTTAATAGTGTGGGGCGTGCTACCAATATGTAATAGTATGGTCATATATTTAATCAATGCTAAAATATCAGTTTTATTAGCTAAATCAATGCACTGAAAACTGGACTGACATTCTAAAGATTTGAAAAATTAAGATGTAATTTTTACACTCTTACCTTGGGTATTAAGGTAATAATGTTTCCACAATGGTCTTAATTTGTGTTTTCCACCTACATCCCAAATGGTGAACTTTAGATTTTTATATTCTACAGTTTCCACATTAAAACCTGTTTTAAAAAAAAAAAAAAACTTACTTTAATACTGACTGTGGGAAGGCGAGGGTGGGATGTTTTGAGAGAACAGCACTGAAACATGTATATTATCAAGGGTGAAAGAGATCACCAGCCCAAGCTGGATGCATGAGACAAGTGCTCGGGCCTGGTGCACTGGGAAGACCCAGAGGAATCGGGTGGAGAGGGAGGTGGGAGGGGGGACCGGGATGGGGAATACATGTAAATCCATGGCTGATTCATGTCAATGTATGGCAAAAACCACTACAATACTGTAAAGTAATTAGCCTCCAACTAAAAAAAATAAATGGAAAAAAAAATAATAAAAAATAAATTAAAAAACTGACTTATGAGTGACACACCAAAAACAGGCAGCCCGATTTGTAACTGTGACTTACAAATCATCTTCATACAGCACTATCTAACCAACTCCACTTGTAATAAACATACATGGGGGAAATGTATACCTTTAACCAGGGTTAGCCCCCTAATCCAATAGAGTCCTTAAGACCTTGACAGCCGAGTACCAGCTCTGCAACACCACCACCTCCTCATCCCTAATCTTCAGCCAGAGTCATCAATACTTTCTTTATTCCTTCCAACTGTCCCACCAATATTCTGTTCTTTCTTACTATCCCTCCTCAATCCACATTTCAATCCCACAGTCACTGAACCTTGCATTTTTCCTCTGAAATGCTGATGTCTTACAGCCAATCTCCACATCAGATGGGCATAAAGTAAGGCTCTGAGAACTCATCTGTAAGTTAGGGTTTTTTCCTATAAAATATTCATTAAGGTAAAAGCAATACGCACACTTACCAATTGTTGGAATAGGCTGCATGAACTCATCCTGTTTTAATTTAAACAAAATAGTAGTTTTTCCAGCACCATCCAATCCTAATGTAACAACTCGAATTTCCATTTTGGGTCCAATATGAACTCTATTGTCCTATATTTTTAAAAAAACAAATCTTTTTATTTTGATATGGAGTTAAAAGTATTAGCACTTACACTTTTATTTATAAAATACCTTTGCTAATTACTTTGTCTCCTACTCATTCCTCAACTCATTAAAATCAGAGTTCTATTCCCATATTAAAATACCCTGATTCTGATATTTAGAAAGAGGAAATGTATCCTCACTGTTTTGTTAAATCTTGGCTTAGTAAAACTTACTACATACTATGTAAGCTAAAAAATACACACACACACACTTATCTTTCCCAGATTTCCTAGCTCAACTGAATCTTCTTTAAATAAGATTTTTCATGCTGTGCTAAATATATTAATTAAAATAAAGATATATAAAGTATATAAAGATATAATTTGTGACATCAATAACATAAAGTACAGGGGGTGGAGCTGTGGAGAAATAGAATTTTTGTATGCAATTGAAGTTAATTTGTTATCAATTTAAAACAGAATGTTACAACTAAGATATTTTATGTAATTGCAATGATAACCTCACACACACACACAAAATCCATAGAATATAAACAAAAGGAAATGAGAAGGAAATCAAACCATGACACTATAAAAAAAAATCAATAAAACACAAAAGGCAATGAATGAGGAAAGGTGAAACAAAAAAAAAACCTTATCAAGTTAGGCAGAAAATGAACAAAATGACAACAGTAAGGGTTTACTTAACAATAATTACTTTAAATATAAATAGACGTAACTCTCCACTTGAAAGACATAGTGTGACCTAATGGGTGAAAAACCAAGATCTAAAAATATGCTGTTTACAAAAGAGACTCACTTTATATCTAAGGAAACACACGTTTGAAAGTGAAAGGATGGTAAAGATGCAAATCTCTTTGGGATGCAAATCATACCCAAAAGAAAGCAGGGCTGGCCATCCTAATATCAGATAAAATAGATTTTTAAGTCAGAAACTGTTATAAGGGACAAGTTCATTATATAATGGAAAAATGGAAGGTTTATAAACAATATATAATAATTCTAAATATCTGGATTATAAATAAATAGATTAAAGCCCTAAAGATAAGAACCAAAGCTATAAAACTCGTAGAACAGCAGAAAAGCTTCATGACACTGGGTTTGGCAATGATTTTCTTAGATATGACATAAAAAACAACAGAAGCAAAAATACATAGATGGGACTAGATCAATGTTAAAAGCTTTTGTGAATCAGAGGACACAATCAAGAGAGTGAAGAAGAAAACTATAGAATGGGAGAAGATACTTGCAAATCATGTATCTGATAATGGGTTCATATCCAGAATACATAAAGAACTCCTATAACTCAACAACAAAAAGACAGAAACAGAAAAATAGGCAAAAGGACTTGTAAAAAATTCTCCACAGAACTGACCAAGAAGCATATGAAAAGATGCTTAATATCACTGATCATCAGAGAAACGCAAATCAATACCACAATAAGATATCACTTTACACCAATCAGGATAGCTACTATCAAAAACAAATCAAACAAATAGAAAATAATAAGTGAAAATGTGGAGAAATTGGAATCCTCATGCACTTTTGGTGGGATTTCTATCATGTGATGCAATCGCTAAGGAAACAGTATGACATTTCCTCAGAAAATTAAAAACAGAACTACTATATAAACCATTAGTCCCATTTCTGGTTATTTATCCAAAAGAATTGGAAACAAAGCCTGAAAGAGATGTCTATACAATCATGTTCACAGCAGCACTATTCACAATAACCAAGAGGTAAAGTAACCCAAATATCCACTGATAGATGAATGTATACACAAAATGTGGCATATACAAACAATGAAATATTATTTAGACTTAAAAGGATATTCTGTCACATACTACAACACAGGTGAGCTCTGAGGACATAATACTAAGTGAAATAAACCCAGTCACAAAAAGACAAATACTATCCACGTATACACTAAATTTATAGTAGTCAAATTCAAAGAAACAGAAAGTAGAACAGTGGTTACCAAGATATGAGGAGAAGCAGGGAAAAAGGGATTGGTTGCTTATAAGGTATAGTTTCAGTTTTTCAAGATGAAAAATTTCTGAAAATGTTTCACACAGTGTGAATATACCTAACAATACTGAACTATACACTTAAAAAATGGTTAAGATGGTAAAAAAATTTGTTTTTTACCATAATAAAAAAAAAGTACATACTCACAATCAAGAACCTTCTAGATGCAAAAAGAAATGGAAAAGGTCACTATATACTGCTATGGAGTGACCTCTAGGATGTGCCCTCAAGTTAAAACGCAAGGTGGAGAAGTGAGTACAGTACTCTACCTTTAAATAGGTGGAGAGTACATGCAAACATATTTCTCTATTTTTTTTTTAATGATGAATAAAACTAAGAAAAATTCTTAATAGTTTTCTATGGCAAAGGGAAGAAACGGGTGGAGGGGCCAGGAATTTAAGTTAGACTTCACTGAATGTACTTTGCTTTGTAGATACGACTCTGGACCATGTGAATGCTTCACATAATTATAAAACAAGATTAAAAACAATTTTAAAGCCACTCAAAAATAGAGAGCAAAATGAAACACATGTACCTTTTTAAATTCGGGGGAATCCGCTTGAAAAGAGGCCAAAACATATCAAAAAATGCCAAATACATACCTTGTTGGATTCAGTCTCAGACCTAAACAAATTTATTTAACAATCTAGGAAATCTGAATACTAATTCGATAATGGGTAATATTAAAGATGTATTTAATTTCTTAGGTGTGGTAATGGTATTTTTATTGTATTTTAAGAATTATTTGATGTTGGGATGAAATATGTTGAGATTTGTTTTAAAATAACCTGGGAGATTGTAGGTAGAAAGAGACTGGGAGAAGGGTAGGTGAAATAAAAAGTTATTAACTGTTCCAGTAGGTGGTGATGAGTATAGAAGATTCATTACACCACCTTCTATTTTCCACTGATAAAGTTTTCTTTTTTAATCCTATGGTTCATTAATTTTTTAGTTGTCTCTTCAAGCTAATTGCCATGGAAGGTAAAACAATTATGATTTGTTCAAAACCACACCTAAACATGAAGCACAGAATACATTACCTTTGTAAAGGTGACAGGGATGCTGGCATCCAACTGAACGTGATCTGCAACTTCTGTAAACTGCTGCTGCTGCTTTTGCAACGTTTCTAGTAACCTTGTAATTTCTTGTTTTGCCAAGACAACTCTACAATCATCCTAGAAAGGAGAAGATGATATTTCTTATAAACCTTTTAAAGAAATCAGAAAAAAAGAGATATCACTAAAACTCAAGAAAAGCTCATTTAACATTACAGTATTCAAAGTTAGCCGCTGAAGATTTGATGCTTTTGAATTGCGGTGCTGGAGGAGAAGACTCTTTACAGTCCCTTGGACTGAAAGCAGATCAAACCAGTCAATCCTAAATGAAATCAACTGTGAATATTCACTGGAAGGACTCATGCTGAAGCTGAAGCTCCAAAACTTTGGCCACCTGATGCAAAGAGTTAATTCACAGGAAAAGGCCCTGATGCTGGGAAAGATTGAATGCAAAAGGAAAAGAGGATGGCTGAGGATGAGATGATTAGACAGCATCACTGACTCAACAGACATGAATTTGAGCAAACTCTGGGAAACAGTGGAGGACAGAGGATCTAGGCATGCTACAATCCATGGGGTCACAAGGGTTGAACACTCAACAACAACATTCAAAGTTAACTTATGTGTAAATTTGACTAAGATAACAATAGTCAGACATTAATAAATAATTTAAGAGCCCATCCATCAACATAAGAACAGATAAATAATTTTGTGTCCACAAACGCAACACTATCACAATAAAAATGAACTACAATTACATTTTGACAAAATGAATTTCACACGAAATAAGGGTAGAAATGACATGAAGAGTTCTTATTGTATGATTCCAACTTTTATTAATTATCAAAACAGGCAAAAAAAAAGTATACATTAGAAATCAGGACAGTCGTTTATCCTTAGGAGGAAAGGCAGGTAGTTATTAGAAGAGAGTCTGAGGGTCTTCTGGGGTCCTGGTAATGCCCTGTTACTGGATCTGAATGCTGGTTACATAGCAATGTCCAGTCCTAAAATACAGCAAGTTGAGCGTGTATGTATATATTTCTATGTGTGTATATATATATACACACATATATATAGTACTCCTATAAAAGTTTTTCAAAATAATGTAAGATACACTTATTGGTTCCAAAAACAAAGGACTAAAGGTCAAACTGTGATGTCTCTGTCTCACTCTAGAGTCCCAGGCTCTTTCCTTCCAGTTGCTCAAATATTATTCCAGAAATATTCTATACATATGCCAGTGTATTTTTCATAAGATATAGATTTTCCAACAATATATAAACTCCATGAAAGAAATAGCATTGTCAGTTTTTGCTCACTGTTGTATATTCATATGAAAAGAAAGAAAGTGAAAGTCGTTCAGTAGTGTCCGACTCTTTGCGACCCCATGGACTATACAGTCCATGGACTTTTCTGGGCCAGAATACTGGAATGGGTAGCCTTTCCCTTCTCCAGGGGATCTTTCCAACCCAGGAATCGAACTGGGTCTCCTGCATTGCAGGCAGATTCTTTACCAACTAAGCTACAAGGGAAGCCATATTCATATGAGGTGACAGCAATCTGGCTGTTCCAATCCCCAGAACAAAAACCCTGAAGTCCCTCTTGTCTTCTCCTTCCTCATTTTCACATGTATTTGTCACAAATCCTACTGGATTTCCAAAATCTGGGTACTTCTAGCCCCTACTATCCAAGCTACCATTCTCTCTCACTTGGAATGCCACAATAGTCCCTAACTATTGAACTCCTTCCCTTCTCTTTGCCCTTTTCACATCAGCCAGATCCTTTTAAGTAAGATTAAATCATTCTTGTGCTCAAAACCTCACAATGGTTTCTCCAATTCAATCAGTAAAAGCTGAAATCCTTCCAATGGCCACAAGGCTCTCCTTATATATCATTCCCTATTTCCTCTCATTTCAGCTCCTATTACTCTCTCCATAGCTTATTGCTGCTGGTGCTGCTGCTGCTAAGTCACTTCAGTCGTGTCCGACTTTGTGCGACCCCACAGACGGCAGCCCACCAGGCTCCCCCATCCCTGGGATTCTCCAGGCAAGAACACTGGAGTGGGTTGCCATTTCCTTCTCCAATGCGTGAAAGTGAAGTTGCTCAGTCATGTCCAACTCTTAGCACCCCATGGACTGCAGCCCACCAAGCTCCTCCATCCATGGGATTTTCTGGGCAAGAGTACTGGAGTGGAGTGCCACTGCCTTCTCTGCCATCGCTTATTACTATCCATCTATTCCAGCCATAGTGCCCTCTTTTGCTGTTCCTCAAATACATGTCACCCTAGGGTTTTTGCACTAACCATTTCCTCTACTAAAATCTTCCTCATTAAGGTGTGAGATAGTTCCCTTCACCTTCTTCCCTTTTGAGTCTGATTAAATCTCACCTTTTCTCAATGATGCTTACCCTATTTCAAAATGCAATCTGCTGTACCTTCACACATTTTCCTTTTCCCTTAGCTCTTATCACTTTTTAACATACTATATAATTTACTTATTAGAAATGGTTATGGCTTATTGTACTGTCTTCTTGCTAAGATGCTAACTCCACAAAATTATGGCTTTTGGCCTATTTTGCTTATTGGCGTATTCCATGTACCTAGCATTTACATGGCACATAGCAGGCACAAAAAAAAAAAATGTCTGCCTCATAAATAAATCCTAACCAAGCGGCATCATGCCTTACATGATGCATCAATTATTTTGGAGGGGAGGGATGATTAAATTTTATCATCAAAATTGGTAATAAATATGTGATGTTCCATCCATTCCTCTGTTAAGGTATCTCTGTGGCAGGAACTTTTAAGACTACTGGCTGAGATTAGGGTTCTGTGGCCATAAATCAGAATGAAACTAATAAGTACATATGAAGAATGAATCCAAGACCCCAATTTCATTTGCATTAACCCAGGGAGATAATACGCTGTCATTAACATTTATCAGTCACTTTGACAAAATGCTTCAGAAACTCTAAAATACTTCTGAATATTTCAGTAGCCATGAGCATACTTTTAAATTAAATAAATATAAAAATATTTTGAAGTAGTCACTTAACTATGATTTAGAACATGCTCCGTTTGTAATTCTGCTGTGTAGCTTGAGCTGAACAAGTATATATTAAGCTCTTTCTATCCAGATACAAAGAATTTAGATACAAAGATACATTCAGCCAACATTCAGAAGGACAATTGTGCATAATCTATCATTAGACTCAAATCAGGAGACAAAAACGCCAACAATCATGTGAACAGAAAAACTAATATGAAGAACTGTTAACTAGGTGTAGTAATTAACAAGGCAACTGAAAGTGTAAAAAGAGCTCGGAGGTCTCATGGAGGAAACAACTGTAAGAAATAGCTACCACTCTCAGGGCTGGGGGAATAAAGGAGAGATGTTAGAATTATTAAAACTTAGACACTTATAGGAGGGATCCCATGGAGCTGAAACTCAGATCTCGAAGGAAAGTGGTCTCCTCGTGTAAGCAGCGCCATTCACATGAACCCCAAGCAAACGGGAACCCACAGGAAATCACGTCCACCTTTCAGCCTCCCTCTACTGCCCCCTACGGGCAGAGCCTAAAATAACATGGAACCAGCTGGCAGAGCAGGCTTTCAGCGTTCCAATCTCAGCATCACAAAGGAGAGGACAGAAGAACAGGACTGGAGCACGAAGACAACTTAATAGATGGCAAAAACATCAATTATTACAATTCAATGTGACAAGGACTAAAGGACGCAAGGTTGATGTGCTTACAGCCTAGCCTATCAGATTTCTAAGAGAAAAAGCTCTACAACGGTAGAAAGTTTCTCTCTCTAATGATTTGATATCAACACAATCATCAGCAATATACCAAAAGATGAGAGGGTCTGCATATTCCCAGGGCAACAGTAAGTCTTAATTTGCACATTTATGAAGGCAGAGCCAAAACAGTAATGAATAAGACTGACATTTTTGTTAGAATAACCTTAAGTCTAATTCATTTTAAAAGCATATTATCTGCAAAATGGGTAACAAATTGCTTATAATACATCATGCATCAAAAAAAAAAAAATGGATTTTCTGTGACATCAAAGTTAAGAACCAATAAATTAGAGCAGAGATGGGTAGTTCGTGTTACAGATGCACTCCCCATCTCCCCCACCAAAAACCAATGAACAAAAACAGCAAGAAAAAGGAACTTCAAACAACAATAAACATTTGAAGAAAGATTTCCAATATTAAAAAAGGGAGACATAAGCCCACCAAGCTGAAAGAATAGTATACATTTGGAAAAAAAGGGTTAAAGGACTTAGGATGAATAAAGAATGACAAGAAGTTAAGCAGGTTCTAGAACCTATGGTTTTATGGTGGGGAGGACACTAAAAAGAGAGGGCATTGATATGGCTGACTGGAGCAATTCAAGGTTAGAGATCATGTCCTAAGCACAGTCCACATTAAAGCCCACAGTAACATACAGGAATAGTATAAAAATATCTATTAAATTAATAAAATAGACTAGTATGTACTTCCAGTAATGATTTGATTAAGCTTACAAATTCTCCTTCTTAAACCATGTCCTAACCATGTTTTAAACCATGTACCTGTTGCAAAGTCTTTTCACAATGGAGACAGGCTGTTGAAACCTGAGATAACAAAACAGTCATATCTTCTTGTTGCTGCCTGAGCCAAATCAATTTTTCTCGAACATGAGCATCAACAACACTTAGAGCCATTTCTTCTTGACGACACAGAGTTTCATGCAGATCAGAAAAATAAGCTCGGACACACGATCGGGCATTCTCTGCAGTACCTGGTACCTTGGGCAATAAAAATAATTTCAGCAACTGTAACCTTAAAAAAGATTTTTTATGTGAAATAATGAAAATTTCAATACCATCTATATAACCTTAAAAATCCCAAAATGTATATCTCCACAGAAGACTTTTCCCCTTAAACACAACCTTTGGATATCCAACTGTTTAAATGACATTTCAAAAAAACAAGTCTCCCTCAACCGCAAACCTAGTTTTTTCTATCTCAATAAACAGCAACTACAACTTCCGGGTTGTTCAAGCTAAAAAAACTGGAGTCACCCTTAACACTTCTCTTTTTTATCTCTCAACTAGTTTCTTACTGAATTCTGCTGACTTCAAAATATATCTAGAATCTGATCATGCCTCACCATCCCTACCGCTACCAACCTAATCAAAGCCATTGTCATCTCTCACTTGATCATTGTAATAGCCTTCTAACTCAGCTCACTAGATCCACCCCTGCTCCCTGTAATGTATTCTCCATCCAGAAGCCAGACTGATCATTTTACAATGTTAAGTCAGAATGTTAATTATTACTATGCTCAAAACACTCCGTGGTTTCCCATACAGAGTAAATGCCAAAGTCCTTTATATGGGATGTTCAATGACAGAATCCCTGAGAAAAAGACATCTGAGCTAAGACCTGAAGGAGGTAGGAAGAGGGAACCACACGAACATTTTGAAGAAGAGCATTCCTGGAATAAATTAAAGCAAGTGCCTATTAGGCCCTTTCTGACCTCAATTCCAACTATGCTTTCCATCAATCATTCTGTTTTAGCTACACTCAGCCTCCACGAAGTTTCTTAAGAACACGAGACACACTCCAACTGCAGGGCCTCTGTTCTTGATCTAGAATGTTCTTTCCCCAAATATTAATATGGCTCCCTTTTCTCAGCTCCTTTAGGTCAATGCTCAATGCCCCTTCTCAGGAAACCTGTCCTCAAATACCACCTTTTCTGGATTTTTCTCCAAAGCACCTAATAAGATACTTATGCCATATTTTATTTATATATTGTCTCTCTTCCCACATTAGAATGCAAACTCCGCATAGGTGATATTTTTGACTTGTACAGTGGTGTCTCCTTAGCTAGATTAGTGTTTAGCACTTGAGATATGTTCAATAAATATTTACTAAGGGCATAAATACTTCCACCATAGTACAACAATATCCAATAGAATTTTATGTGATGACAGACATGTTCTATATCTGTGCTGACCAATATGGTAGCCACTAGATACACACACATAAAATGTACTTCAAATGTAGCTAGTGAGACTGAGAAAGTAAATTTTGTATTTCTTGGGATTGATAAATAATTTAAACTTAAATATCCACATGAGGCTACTGGCTACTAGTTTGACAGAACATTATTCTAGCAATTATTCCCTATGACTTGGCTTTAATTTTGATTACCAAAAAAAAACCACTATACTTTGTTTGACCCTGTGTTTTATATTCCTGTCTGAAAATATCCCTTTCTTCTCTACACATGTGTGTTAAGTCGCTTCAGTCATGTCCAACTCTTTGTGACCAGGACTGTAGCTCTCCAGGATCCTCTGTCCACGGAATTCTCCAGGCAAGAATAATGCAGTGGGTTGCCATGCCCTCTACCAGGGGATCTTCCTCATCCAGGGATTGAGCCCACATCTCTTAAGACTCCTGCACTGGCAAGTGGGTTCTTTACCACTAGTGCCACCTGGGAAGCCCAATGCTTCTCCTCTATAATTCAATTTTTTAAAAGCAATTACCACTGCTGCTTAAGTCCCTTCCTTCTCTTCATAGCCAAACTCTTAGAAGTTAGACACACTCACCTCCTAATACCCACTTACTCTTCACCTTGCTGTGGGGGGTTGGGGGTATTTCTGTTTATTTCACAGATATAACAAACTCAACATCCAAATTAAACTTACCACCTTGGTCTCATCATCCCCTCCCAAATTCTTCTTCCTCCCCGTTTAGAGCACAACCATCCGCCAGGCTGGGCAAGGTGGAAACCTAGGCATCATGCTTGACCCTGCAAGTTACCTATCAATCAATATTATCAATCAATCACTATGACCTACCTATTCTACTTCTTTAACATCTCAAAGCCATGTGCTTCTCTCCATCCTCAATACTGCAGTATTATGGGCCACAAACAATTCTCAAGTAGATACTTTCAGCAACCTCACAAGAGGTCTCCTTGCTTCCAATCTTGTTGTTCCTCCAATTCATTTTTTATATTAAACAGCAACCTTTCTTAATGCAAATTTGATTATGTTATTCCTATGACAATTCTTCAATGGCTCATCACTGCCTGTGAGATAAAGTCCAAACTCTTTAACACAGCTAACAAGATGCTGCACAATTTGGCCCTTAATTCTCCAACATCTTTTCTTACCATGTGCCACCCCAATATTCAAAGCTTCAACCACAGTGAACTTAGTTAAGTTTCTACAATATGTCCAATTCTCACTTCCAGGTATTTTAACATAGGCTTCCCTCTCTGGAACAGCTCTCTCCCCACCTCACTCTTCTCCCTGACTAAATTCCTTCAAATCTCAGTTTAGACATCACATCTTCTAGAAAGCCTTCCAAGACTTACCTAAGTTAATGATGTTTTTATGCACACTGCCAGGGCATCCTGCATTTCCCCCACAAAGTAAACAGTTACCACACTTGAAACTCTTCCATGATGGATTATAAATTTCCGTAAAGACAGAGACTTTTCAAAAAACTTATTTCCACTGACTAATGCAGTACTGGTACAATGGAATTGCTCAATAAATCCTACAAGGTGAAAAAGTAAGAAGGAGAAAGGGTAAGGAGGAAAAAAATCCATACATGTTCTGTGTGCGCCATTCCAATTCCATCTTCTACTATTTGTTCTCCTCCTTCAATGTGCTGAACGATTCCAACTAATTTTCTGGAATAATCTGAAATTTCCTCAGTGAAGGTCCGTATGCAATGAGCCATATCTAAAATTGATGCTCGGATCTGGTTAGCTTCTGGTTCCAATACTGAATGCTATAAGGTGCAACATAATTATAGAAAAGAACTCACAGTATTGACTAATGATATAAAATGCTACTTAACTGGCTCCTATTAATAAAAAAACAAAGCATTAGTTGCAAGTGGGTTTTATAACATATTTACAAAATCACAGCATGAAGAAATACTAATCTGCCTTCATTCCAAAATTATTTACCCTTCAAAGAAATGATTTTAAATTTGGAATTCCATATACTGCTAAGAAATCAAGAAATCTCTAAAATTTGATCACAAGCATTAGTTCATCAACAGATACATTATCAACACAATGCAGTGCTTTACAAAAACATGCACACAAAGAAAAGAACTTTTTGTTTCCTGCTAGAAAGCCATTTTCAATAAAGAATGAATCATGAGGACTCTGAAATTTTTGATAAGTCATTCAGAAAATAAACCTCTCTTTTCATGCTACCAAGCTCAACTCATTTATCATTTAGCTCTTCTTCAGTTTCTGCTTTTACTATAAAGAACCAAGTCAGTCAAAATAAACAGTAGGCTGGTAAAGCAGGTGAAGTTATCAAGTTTAACTACATTCATACCTTGTGACCTTGGTGTTTTCCATATTCTTTGCAGACACAACACATGAGCGGGCTAGTTTGACAGCCATCTTCCAAGCAAACAAACTCAATGGCATGCACTTGATGCTGAGAGCACATGGTCTTCTCATGAGGTTTATCAGCTAGAGGCACTCTCCTGTGCTTTGCTAGTGTCTTTGTAGAATGAGTAACTTGGGAACACTCTGAACACAAATGAGTTGCACATACAGTGCAATATACAGATGCAACATGAGCTTCATCTTCATCACAACGAATGATGCTCTGATAAACAAAAAAGTAATGTATTAAAACTGAACCCCTTTACTAAACAGAAACTGACTGAGACACAGAAAATAAACTTAGGGTTACCAAAGGAGATACCAAGGGAGAGAGAGGAGAAATAAATTACACACTACTATATATAAAACAGGTAAACAAGGACCTACTGTACAACACAGGGAACTACACTCAGTATCTTATAATAATCTATAATGGAAAAAAACCTGAAAACGAATATGTGTGTGTGTGTGTGTGTCTGTGTATAGGTAACCAAATCATGTTGATGTATGTTTGAAACTAACATAATATTATAAATTAACTATACTTTGATTTAAAAAATTTTTTAACTAAACCCCAATCATGATAACATGCAAAATTTTGAAATATAAAAGTCCACAGTCTTTACATATACATAAATAAACTGATAATTAAATAAAAAGGTCATTCACTACTCACTTCTATAGGTAAGTGAAAGCTATTTCCAAAATTGATCATCAATATATGCTATGAAATTGAGGCCAAAAATACAACCACTGTTTTAGATTCACTATCAGTGCAAAGGCATCCACCGCAACATCGCCTCACCTGACACACAGACGGACAGCAGAGGGTGGAAACAAGTCTCTATTTAAGACTGGAAGGACTGATAGTAAGTGCTTCCCCCTGCTTTCAATATGCTTGTCAGCATAACGCAGGTAAAAAGAGAAGCACAAATTTTACTATTTAGATAACCAAGTGAAGCTTTTAAAAACATAGATGCTTAGACTCCAACCTGAGAAATACTCTGTATTTCTGTAGAAATAAAAATTAGAAAATATACCAATGGTGTCATTAAGTATCACAGTAAATAAAAAATGAATCCAAAGTTAAACAACTTTATTTGCAACTATGAGAAATGCATATGTATAAAATTAAAGAGTCATGTCTTCTGCTTTCTAGAGCTGACAAATTTGTAAGATCAATGTTAGATAATCCTCAATGTCTTTCAAAATAAAGGTAAAAGATAAATCATGGGAAAGAACTGCAAAATTTTTAGAAAACAGTGCTTCAGTTTGAGATTACTTTCACTGATTCACTTTATATAGGAAATCATGATCTAATAAAAGAGAAGTAAAAAGTCAATCTGTCATTTTCCTTGATACTAAACATGTGGTTTTCAAGGTGTTCATCAAAATTATTAACTATTTACTAAACAACTATTCCTATATTCAGAACAGTCTATGAGTTATGTAGATAAATTTTATGCTAAAAATGTATTTTGTGTTAATGGTCTTCTTTCTAATAATTATTGGACACCAACCTGTCTAGATGAAGAGAGCACATCTACATACAACGCAGCTTTTCATGAAGATATTTAATAGTAACTCCCTCAGGAGCTACCGGAGAGGGCAACGGCACCCACTCCAGTGCTCCTGCCTGGAGAATCCCAGGGACGGGGGGCCTGCTGGGCTGCCGGCTATGCGGTCGCACAGGGTCGGACACGGCTGAAGCGACTCAGCAGCAGCAGCAGAAGACGCGGTGGCCACCTCTAAGGCATTTAGTCTCTACGCTGAAAGGTCCCTTTCACTGCGCTCCTCTTTATCTCTCTGTGCTTTAACTGCTGAACGACCCGCTTCTGCACCCTCTGCTTTAATGTAGGCTACATACCCTCTGCGCTCACCCACAACCCTACTCTGTCACTTTCCACTCTACCCTATGTAGAGCTACTGATGATAAGGAAACAAGTTTATACAAAAACACAGTTTGCTATAGTATTTTCAGAGATTTCAAGCTTCAGTTTTGCTTTTGTTCAGTTGGGGATTCTGTTGCCTTCAGAACTATAACGTAATGAAAAGTTGTGTCTCTGGAATCCTACTTTATAGGGTAAGTGAGGTAATATTGGGCATATAATGGCAAATATTTTAAAAGAAAAAATTCATGGTCATAACAAATATTTCAACAGTTCAATCAATACCTCTCCAGATATCCCAATGGCTTCTTCTGCAGCTCCATACTGACCAATATGTCCATTCTGCAGTCGTTCCAAAAGCTCCAATAAAGCAAAATTTTTTTTCAGTCCCCAGACACCTGAATCTCCTAGAATATAAACATATAAACTAAATCTAACAAAATGGAATATTATTTATTTTACCCCATATCCTGATAGTAATTTCAATGTCTCACAGTTCAATAATTAATAATGTTTAAATTTTGAAAATTAAAAATTTCTCCATTTCCTGTTAATTCTATAACAGCAATCTTAATATTCTCTTTAAAACACAGAACTCCTTAGCATTCTAAGTAGAAACATTTTTTAAAACTCTTATTCTTTTTCTATAATTTAACTTCAAAATAATTTATAAATCCTATTTCCTTACTGACTTTTTTCTATATATACTAAAACAAGTGCTTTAAATATTTTTAACAGAACCTACAGTAAGAAATACATTTTACATTGCAACACAGTATAACACACACATACACAACTGAAACAGAAGATTTACAAACCAAAATTCACCCTCACAGTGTGCAACACATTGATTAGTTTTATCCTATTTCTTTTTAAAAAATCTTACTCACAGAAAATTTAACTGATTTTATGACCACAAATATGGTCATAAAATATGATGCATGTTTGAAAACCACAGTATGAAAGATACACTTAACCTAAAATAAATCCATCTCTAAACTGGAACTAGAGCAGCTAAAGACATTTTCCCCACCTCATCTAACCTAGAACCCTAAGAGTAATCAATAAACATATAAACTCCTTCTCACACACATACACAGAGTTTCACACTAAAGTCTGACGATACTCCCTTTTAGGTAGATAAGACTTTAGGGCACATCTGAATAAGGACCAATGCCTTTCTTCCCCAGAACTGACCATAAAAGGCCAGGTGAACATACATATGTGCATGCATATGTGGCCACACACATAAGCCACACACAAATACAAACTCTTCCTAAGACTGTAAATAAAAGATAGATCCTCCAGAAATTAGAAGGAATATCTGCTATGCTGAGCTTCTATACAACAAATACCATCTGACACAAAGCTGCCACCTAATACATATTCACTGTAAAAACAAAAAGAACGATGAAGTCAATGTTTACAAGGCTTCCGTCCTTCTTGGCCCCTCTTTTCTAAGGGAGGAAGGGAAGGAAGAAAAAAAGGAAGGAAGAAGGAAAGTTGGAAGAAAAGGTAAGGAAAAAAGCCATTTCTAGTTATGGTTCTCCAAAAAACTTTTTTAAACTAGGCTAAATATCTTTACCCTCCTCTCTGATTTCTGTGACCTCCTTTCCCAAGTATCTTTATGCATCCTCTACCCAGCATCTCCACCTGTCTTGCCACCCTACCAAGGCTTTCTCAACTGATTTAATTTTTCACACATATTCTACCTCAAACTGAGTTCTATCTACTTTGTTTATAAAAGATTAAGAAGTACACTAAGTCCTTTATTTAAAAGTATTATCTTGACAGTATCCAAATACTTTAATTATATATTAAACACAAACACATAAACTCCTAGTAGTATTTAAACAGTATCTATCTACTGCCTAAGATATGACTTAATTTTTCTGTGACTATCAAAATAAATCTAATATCTCAATGACTTAAAACAACAAAGATTTGCTTTCTGCTCATATAACATCTCAGGGGTTGGTGAAGACATGAGAGATTCTGTTCCCTACTGTCCATGATCAAGGACACAGGCCACTGAGGCTCCAACCACCTGTATCACCTCACTATAGCAGGAAAAACGATTTACTACAAACTATCATAAATCCATTCTTAACAGCTTCTACCTGGAAGTTAACATTTCACTTCTACTCATAATTTCACCAGTTTAAGGAAAATCACACAGTTCTGCCTACCTGATCATAAGAGAGCAGGGAGGTGTAATTTTACCATGAGGAAAGAAGAGAAGAACCATAAATAATGCTGACCAGTACTAACAACTATGATAAACAACAACTGATACTAAAGAAGAATTCTAATTTTGATTCTTTCACATTAACAGCATTTCATGGGGACTGGGGTTGTAGAAGGGAGGGATGGCTTGGGAGTTTGGGATTAGTAGATATAAACTATTATATATAGAATGGATAAATGACAAGGTCCTACTGTATAGCACAGAGAATTCTATTCAATATCCTGTAATAAGTCATAATGGAAAAGAAAAAAAAACAGTAACTTGATTTTATAAGCAGGAAATACAAATGATTTTTGTTATACTTTTTAATAGATTCTCCAAATTTTATGCAGTTTATATATATATATAATTTCTATAATAGATTTTAAACATAAATTAAAAAATAATGACATCAAACTATATCAAGGATCATTAACACATATTCCATAGGCTTGAATTAGAGTAAAATTCTAAGCTACAAGGTATAGTAATTACTATACATCATGCAAAATGCCAGACTAGATGAATCACAAGCTGGGATCAAGATTGCCAGGAGAAATAGTAACAACCTCAGATGTGCGGATGACAACATTCTAATGGCAGAAAACGAGAAGGAACTAAAGAGCCTCTTGAGGGTGAAAGAGGAGAGAGAAAAAGCTGGCTTAAACTCTACATTCAAAAAACTAAGATCATGGCATCCAGTCCCATCACTTCATGGCATACAGATGGAGAAAAAAGTGGAAACAGTGACCTACTTTATTTTCTCAGGCTCCAAAATCACTGCAGACAGTGACTGCAGCCATGAAATTAAAAGACAGTGGCATGTTCATCGCAGCACTGTTTATAATAGCCAGGACATGGAAGCAACCCAGATGCCCATCAGCAGACGAATGGATGAGGAAGCTGTGGTACATATACACCATGGAATATTACTCAGCCATTAAAAAGAATTCATTTGAATCACTTCTAATGAGATGGATGAAACTGGAGCCCATTATACAGAGCGAAGTAAGCCAGAAAGATAAAGACCATTACAGTATACTAACACATATATATGGACTTTAGAAAGATGGTAACAATAACCCTATATGCAAAACAGAAAAAGAGACTCAGATGTATAGAACAGACTTGTGGACTCTGGGAGAAGGCGAGGGTGGGATGTTTCAAGAGAACAGCATTGAAACATCTATATTATCTAGGGTGAAACAGATAACCAGCCCAGGTTGGGTACATGAGACAAGTGCTAGGGCCTGGTGCACTGGGAAGACCCAGAGGGATCGGGTGGAGAGGGAGGTGGGAGGGGGGACTGGGATGGGGAATACATGTAAATCCATGGCTAATTCATTTCAATGTATAACAAAAACTACTGTAATGATGTAAAGTAATTAGCCTCCAACTAATAAAAATAAATGGAAAAAAAAAAATAAAAGACAGTGGCTCCTTGGAAGAAAAGCGATGATGAACCTAGACAGTGTATCAAAAAGCAGAGACATCACTTTGCCGACAAAGGTTCATATAGTCAACGCTATGGTTTTTCCAGTAGTCATGTACAGATGTGAGAGCTGGACCATAAAGAAGGCTGAGCGCTGAAGAACTAATGCTTTCAAATTGTGGTGCTGGAGAAGACTCTTGAGAGTCCCTTGGAAAGCAAGGAGATCAAACCAGTCAATACTAAGGGAAATCAACCCTGAATATTCATTGGAAGGACTAATGCTGAAACCGAAGGCCCAATACTTTGTCCAGCTGAAGTGAATATCCAACTCACCAGAAAAGACCCAGAAGATGGGAAAGATTGAGCAGAGGTGGAGAAGGATGAGATAAGAAGCTGATGAAGATGAGATGGATCCTCAAAAGAGGATGAGATGGTTGGATGGCATCACCAACTCAATGGGCATGAGTTTGAAAACTCATGGAGATAGTGAAGGACAGGGAAGCCTGGTGTGCCACAGGGTCACAAAGAACTGGACACGACTTAGTCACTGAACAAGAACACAGAAATCACAACCTACATTCAAGGCAAAGTTATTCGTTTGATTGATTTCAACTAGGCTATCACTAACCATTATCTGTCACGAATTCCTAGTTTATCACAGTGAGGGTAGTAACAACCCACACTGTGGTATACAGTGCCCTTCAAGAGGAAGAAAGGGTCCATCTTACATTTGCAAAGTATTGCTATGTCTATACAGTTTTATATAAAGAAGATGGTATAATATATATAAATTACAGAATAAAAGGACAATAAAAACAATGTCAAAATAAAGACATCTCCCCCCTGAACCTTATATGCTCCCCATAATAATACTAACACTGTCTAATATTAGTTTTCTGGCAAATGAGAATACTACTTAGTTAGATCAAAGTCTACCAAAATCTTAAAAAACCCATTCTATCCTACCCTTATAAGAAAATATTTTAAAACAATGTTTCTTAGCATTTTAAAGCTTTCTGGTCTAAAAATGGGAGCACTCTTGCTTGTTTTCCTGATGATTTAATTATTTCAAATGTGTTCCATGTGATATACAGTCTGAACAGTCTTAAACAGTGCTACTGAACTAAAAATAAATGACAACCTTAAACTATTAATTTTGGAGAAAATTCCACCATTAAAAAAAATAAACATAGAATTTACAGTTGTCAGATAACTGTTCAAATGTTAATAAATGTCATTTCCAAATCTGGTATCCTATAGTAATAACTCATTGTGTTTTTTGTTTTTTTGTAATAACTCATTTTGAAAACTATAAAGCAAAGTTTTAAAAGTATGCAAAAAACTGAAAATCCATCAGACCTTTAAATACATCTTAACAGAGAACAAGAAGTAGTTAGTAGTTATCAAATGCTAAAAATACTTCTGTCTCTGATATCAATAAATAACATGTTGAAACTCCAAGTACTTATCTGTATTTTCCTTAATGGCCTATTCTTGTCTAAGGTAAATCCTGTTTTACAGCAAATTGGAAAAGGTTAGCATAACTTTCTCAGGTGTCTTAAAACTATTGATCTATAAGTACTGAATATAAAAATCCCACAAGATGAAATAAAGTTAGCCCCCAAGAGTGGGTTAATTTATAGCTTCAGGACTACTGGTTTTAAAAGAAACTGAAACCTTCTTGGAATTTTATGTTTCTTTTTATTGTTTTGGCCACACGTTACCATGTTTCCCGATCAGGAAAAGACCCCATTCGCCCTGCAGTAGAAGCACAGAGTCCTAACCACTGGACTGCCAGGGAACTCCCAGAATTTTATAATTTTTAAAATCAAGCAGGAAGAAATTGTCTACTATGACATTTGTATTACATGAACAATTATATATATGTATTTTTTTCCTACCTAGGTCTGTTACTTGCCGATCAAAAGGGCAACGGATTGCTCTTCCATGAAGAGGCAGTCGAGTGAGACAGTCGTGACAAACTGTGTGGCCACAAAGCAGAAGGCGAGGAACTTTGTCTCCTTGCAAAGAAAAGACATCTTCACAAACTCCACATTCCAGCACCTAATAATGGGAAAGAACATATGTGCTCTTTAAAAGACTTCAAAGCATAAATATTTTAGGCTAAAAAAAAAGTCTGATCTTATTTAATGAATCAATCTTCTTAAATTACTTTATTCCTCCATGAAAAAAAAAAACTGTCTAGGTGTAAAATCTTAAATCATCTTTTGTCACTTCATCTGACAGATCTCACCAAAATTACATCACAGTGAAATCTCCTTGGAAGGATAAGTGTCAGGGATCAAAATAATGTTGTAAGTTAACATCTTAAGTTTTGAAAATTATGACATGATTCATTATATGTGAATCCCTAACAGTATGTAACTCTACCAAAGGTGGGTTCTTAAACAATTTCTCTGCAATTAACTAACTCTCAGAAAACCCATCATTAATATGGACAAAAATAATTTGATAAATGTGCTAGGATGACAACTTACCTTGTAAATGATAAAGAAGTTGTTAAGACAAGACTATGAGTAATTTTCAAGTATCTTCTAACATACACTTACATCATACAATGTAAGAATGCAGTTAGACTTAAATTTCAATTCCTTGTTCTCAATTAATAATGTCCCTGGGTTAGAAAGTTTTTTGTTTATCTAGTTCCAATCACAGGTACCTGACTTACGAAAGTCCATGGAGTCAGTCATAGGAAAGATGACAAATCAACTATACTTCAAGTAAAAAAGAAAAAAAAAAGGCATACTTCAATAAAAAAAAAAAAAGAAGGGTGACAAGAATTGGCATATTCTAATTCTTCAGCCCATGAGTTTGTTTTATAATTAGTCAACAAACTATATTTATATCAATGAAGGTTATTTCTTAACATATTTGAAGTTTTTCACAATTTAATAAATTTTTTAAACATACCCACACTGAACTGTTTGATCGTACCCCAAATTCCAGGACCACCATCTGTGACCTAACGCAGCACAGCTGTTCTATTGCTTCTCTTCTCATTCAAATTCTATTCTCAAACTGTATCAAACAACCTGCAGTTCACAGCACATACCAAACTGTTTTCTTTCTTTATGTTAACACTGAAGAAACAGCTAAACAGACATTTTCCTAGGGATTCTTTTTTCACATTAATAAACACACAAATTTCTAGATAAACACACTATCCTTAGGGTTCCCATGTACCATGGATAAGTGTTAATTTCAATACCCAAAACACTTTTAATACTTTAATTGGCTTTCCAGCCTGTTTTACCCTGTTAGATCAAAGCCCTCAGGAATAGGGTATTCCAAATACCAAGCACCAATGTGCTTAGGTTAATAAAGTCCAACAAAATAAAAATTTTAAAACAGTTCAGCCAACCACCACCCCCCAACAAATACATACCACAAGGTTAAAAAAAAAAAAAAAACAAAAACACACACACAGAAAACCCAGAGTGAAAATCAGACTTAATCCAGTAAAACTTTAATATTAACTCTACAATCAAGTTGGAGTCAGCACATGAAATGCTAATGTTTTTCACTGTAAATAAACTGATAATTCATGACTGGCTTGCATCCCAGTATGGTCCAGAAGAAGCTTAAATGTAATACATAGTTCACAGAAAAAGGCAATGAAAACAGATCTTTAATTATACGAAAAGATGTCCAATCTCACTCAAAACATTTTGAAATCAGTCGAAGCTATACCAATATACTTTTTTCAGATTATATTTTAAAAAGCGGGTAACACTTTCTACTGATGAAAGTGTGGGAGAGTAGATAAACTGCCGGTTGCTGTGAACTGTGTATTGACTGATACAGCCCCCATGGAAGGCAATTTGACAAAACCTATCAACAGTATGAATAGCTTAGTAATTCTACTTTCAGGAATTTACCCTATAAATGTATCACATATGTATAAGAATATATATCATTCCTTCAAGCATCTTTTGCATTAGCAAAATACTGAAAACAAAGTAAATATACACAGAAAATAAATTAAGCAACATTCATACACTGCAAAACTATGCAGTCTAGTGGGGAGATTTCCTGATGGCTCAGCAGTACAGAATCCACCTGCAATGCAGGAAACGCAGGAGACGCAGGTTCGATTCCTGGCTTGGAAAGATCCCCTGAGGGAGGAAACAGCAACCCACTCCTGTATTCTTGCCTGGAAAATCCCATGGAGGAGAAGCCTGACGGGCTACAGTCCATAGAGTCACAGGGTTGGACACGACTGAGCACGCACGCACACATGCAGGCTAGGGAGGAAAAGTTAGGAAACTTTTTATGTATACACAGTATGATTCCATATCAATAAAGCAAAGTGAAAAATGACATATAAAATATTTAACTTCTGCATGATGGAGAAGATATAAAAGAGGCACATTTTTTATATACACTGTTTTGCAAGTATACTACCTTCGGGGAGCTAAAGAGAATATATATTTATATATATATTATTTTACAAGCATACTATCTTTCTGGCATGATACACAGGAAACATTACATTGGAACTGTAGTTCTCTTTGAAGAATGAAAACAGCTGGGGAATAACTACACATAAATCACATATATATGTATGTGTTCCAAAGAGTAGAGTTCCAAAGAATAGCAAGGAGAGAGAAAAAAGCCTTCCTCAGAGATCAATGCAAAGAAATAGGCAAAAACAATAGAATGGGAAAGACTAGAGATCTCTTCAAGAAAATTAGAGATACCAAGGGAGTATTTCATGCAAAGATGGGTTCGATAAAGGACAGAAATGGTATGGACCTAACAGAAGCAGCAGATATTAAGAAGAGGTGGCAAGAATACACACAAGAACTGTACAAAAAAGATCTTCACAACCCAGATAATCATGATGGTGTGATCACTCACCTAGAGCCAGACATCCTAGAATGTGAAGTCAGGTGGGCCTTAGAAAGCATCACTACAAACAAAGCTAGTGGAGGTGATGGAATTCCAGTTGAGCTATTCCAAATCCTAAAAGAGGATGCTCTGAAAGTGCTGCACTCAATATGCCAGCAAACTGGGAAAACTAAGCAGTGGTCACAGGACTGGAAAAGGTCAGTTTTCATTTAAATCCCAAAGAAAGGCAATCCCAAAGAATGCTCAAACTACTGCACAAATGCACTCATCTCATACACTAGTAAAGTAATGCTCAAAATTCTCCAAGCCAGGCTTCAGCAATATGTGAACCGTGAACTTCCAGATGTTCAAGCTGGTTTTAGAAAAGGCAGAGGAACCAGAGATCAAATTGCCAACATCCACTGGATCATCAAAAAAGCAAGAGAGTTCCAGAAAAACATCTATTTCTGCTTTATTGACTATGCCAAAGCCTTTGACTGTGTGGATCACAATAAACTGGAAAATTCTAAGAAATGGGAATACCAGACCACCTGACCCGCCTCTTGAGAAACCTATATGCAGGTCAGGAAGCAACAGTTAGAACTGGATATGGACCAATAGACTGGTTCCAAATAAGAAAAGGAGTACGTCAAGGCTGTATATTGTCACCCTGCTTATTTAACTTATATGCAGAGTACATCATGAGAAACGCTGGGCTGGAAGAAGCACACGCTGGAATCAAGATTGCCGGGGGAAATATCAATAATCTCAGATATGCAGATGACACCACCCTTATGGCAGAAAGTGAAGAGGAACTAAAAAGCCTCTTGATGAAAGTGAAAGGGGAGAGTGAAAAAGTTGGCTTAAAGCTCAACATTCAGAAAACTAACATCATGGCATCTGGTCCCATCACTTCATGGCAAATAGATGGGGAAACAGTGGAAGCAGTGGCAGACTTTATTTTTTGGGGCTCCAAAATCACTGCAGATGGTGATTGCAGCCATGAAATTAAAAGACGCTTACTCCTTGGAAGGAAAGTTATGACTAACCCAGATAGCATATTAAAAAGCAGAGACATTACTTTGCCAACTAAGGTCCATCTAGTCAAGGCTATGGTTTTTCCAGTGGTCATGTATGGATCTGAGAGTTGGACTGTGAAGAAGGCTGCGCCGAAAAATTGATGCTTTTGAACTGTGGTGTTGCAGAAGACTCTTGCGAGTCCCTTGGACTGCAAGGAGATCCAACCAGTCCATCCTAAAGGAGATCAGTCCTGGGTGTTCATTGGAAGGACTGATGCTGAAGCTGAAACTCCAAAACTTTGGCCACCTCATGCGAAGAGTTGACTCACTGGAAAAGACCCTGATGCTGGGAGGCATCGGGGGCAGGAGGAGAAGGGGACGACGGAGGATGAGATGGTTGGATGGCATCACCGACTCAATGGACATGAGTTTGAATAATCCCCGGGAGTTGGTGATGGACAGGGAGGCCTGGCGTGCTGTGATTCATGGGGTCACAAGAGTTGGACACGACTGAGTAGCTGAACTAACTCAACTAATGTATATTTACACACACATATATACAATATACACACTTCATATTATCCTGCATTTTTTTAACTAGTCAGTAAAAAAGTATCACTTAAATATCTTCACTTAAAAAAAGAACAAAAGAAAAAAATCTTCAATATCAAATTACAGAAAAGACATTCACAATAGAAATTAGATATTACAAAGTCAGTGAAACATTTTAAATAAATGTTCTCACTACAGAGACACCATAATATATTACAATTATATATGACAATAAACTCCAAAGAACCAAATTAAAATTTTACTTTTCTCATTCTTATCTTGTATCTTTAACAGCATCATCACTCATTACTACCATAGGTTTTTTTCAAAAAGCACTAGTAAAATTCCATTGATTAGTAAACCACAGTTACTAGACTATTCTGCCTCATCTCAGTAAATAAGAGAGTAAGAAATTTTTTTCTTCAGTATTTATGAATAGGAATTGTGGCTAACAGCATAAGAATTTAAGTCCTAGATAGGAAAAAAGCTCTTAGTTTTACAAACTTCACAATACGCCGAAGAGGGCTTCAAACTTATCACATGTAAATTAAACTTTAATAAAGCAGGCCATATTTTCACAGGACTAAGGCAGCTCACACTTCTTTTGTGAACATAAATAATTTCATACCCAATTTTGGTCTGTTTTTCCTAACGAGAAAACTATCAATATCAACTTGTTCATTAAGCAGGAAGTCATTTTACATATGCAAACATTAGCATTCTAAATTTCAACTTTCCCTTCCAATGAACACTTCTTGCTTTCATCTATAACAATGGCCATGAGATTTTTGAAAATTTAATTTGTAATTTATCTTACAAATTACAGAATGAGGATCTTGCCAGAAAGGACTATCCTATTGCACATCTCAGTCACATTTTACATATAAAAATGAAAATTAACAAAATGAGCCTCTAATTTATCAAACTCTGTGCGTTAATAAACTGGAGTTACGTCAGGTTTTGGTATATTTTTCAGATTTTAAGGCAAACAAGGTAACAAAAGCAGACACAGCAGTAATATCTATTCCTATTACTTCTTAATTCAAGTTATTTCACAAAATAATCTTCAGGTATTCTCTACTTAGAAAAAGCACAATTCAATAAATAAAATCTCAACCATACAAGCCAAATAATGAGGGCACCTTCACATCTCTGATATGCTATGTATCTTCAAAATAACTTTATTAATATTTAAAAGATGAATCAACAACCACCAATACTGATCGATAATACAGTTGAAGGCAAAAATGTATCATTCGCTGTCATATGAAACCAACATTAGATGAAAAACCACAGGTGCCTATTACTCAAGACCTTAAAAGAACTTCAGATACCTCCTCCAATGGTTTTGAACCCTAGCTGCACATTAAAAGCATTCTAGGAATGCAAAAAAAAAATACTGATTAAGTAGAACTGGGGGATTAAATCGTTTGGTTTTTTTTTTGAAAGTCCTCAGTAATATGTAACCAGGAATAAGAATTACCACTATCTGAGATTACAGGGGATCCTGAAGGTTATCAAAATCAGTTCTCCCTTCCAGATCTATCTATATACGGAAAAGTGAATTCTACCTTATTTCAACTGAATTTTTGGTAAACCCATTTTAGAGCATTTAAATATGGCAGAGTTTCAAACTTCAAACATAGGGTAATTCATATTGCCGAGCAATAACGGGGCTGTTGACACACCCGTACTACCAAAAGAGGAGGGCAGGTCAACCAATAACAGAGGTCTGATTACAAAGTAGTGCAGTAACGAAAAGAATAACTCAGAGCAGTCAACTGTGGCTCAGCGACAGTGTTAACCGAAACCTGAGTTTCCTCACTTGTAAAACTACAATCAACAATTACTTCATAAATAGATATTAACGAGGTAAAATATCTAAAACAGTATCAGTCAATAATAATGGATCAATTTCATAAAAATAATCTTATTAATGCCTGTTGGTCTTAGCTAAAAACAGAGGGCCTGGGGAAAGATCAGCCCAGGTCACTCTCACAGGCCTATCGGCTCCTTTTCACAAAAGTCCCCGTTGGCGACTACAGAAGACTAGAATGACCAGGAGGCCAGGTAACCTCAGGCCTGCAGGGATAAAGGTCCGGAGGGGAAGCATAGGCTTGTAAAGCCGAAAGGGACCCGAGTCCGCGCAACCCGCCCAAAAAAAGCCACATCTCCGAGATGAACCGAAGAGAGGCCGATGGCGGAGAAAAGAGCACGCAAGGTCCCTCACCTTCACCACGGCCGTCCCCCGGCTGCCCTGACGACCACTGTCTAGTCCCGCTCCAGGCTTGTTTACAACCTGAGCAGCCATCCTAGGAGGAGCCTCGCCACTGAAGCAGCCGCGAAGGCCTTCACAGGAGAGGCGGGGTAAAGCCACCTACCCAGAAGCCTCGGCGCTTGCCGCTGGCGCACAGGCGCAGTACGACGCCGGGCGCAGCTGAGGCGGCTTCCTTGCACCCTTTCACGCCAGCAGAAGCTTGCGCATGGGAGCTTTGTTGTTTTATTAAAGAGTCTGGAGATTTTCAGTCTCCGTCAGACTTCCATCAGATTGATGGGAGGAGTAAAATTAAAGCAAAAAATAAGGGCTAAAACAGAAGTAAGGTTTGGGGGTGAAATTCTTGCTCCAGTAACGATCTTTTCTCCCTAGTTGTAAAATGGACTGGACGAAAGGAGACTGCATCTCCCTGCATGCCATGCGGCTTTTGAAACTACAAATCCCAGCATGCCGCATTCTACAGCATTTACTCGGAGATGTAGGTATTTGCTGGGCGGCGTATTGTCTCCGAGGAGTGGTTTCTTGAAGTCGCGGTGTGTGATTGTGGCTGGAAAATAGAGAAGTATTTTATGTATAGTCTCTAAGAGGCAAGAGACGGCTTTGGTAAAAAGAAGCCGTTGAGTCGCTAAAGGACGTGGTAAGAAGAGAATTTAAGGCACCACCGGCAGAGAAGAAACTATTGGGAATGTGATGCCCTGTCTTCCGGAACGTGCGCTTTCTGTTTTCTTCCGAGCTAAGTGAACCTCTTCAGCCTCCGTAGGCAGTGGGTTCAAAGTGCCGGTCAAAATGGAGGTGAATCCCCCCAAACAGGAGCACCTACTGGCCCTGAAAGGTAAATTTTTGCGAACCCGGCTCCCTCTACACTGTTTTCTCTCCTTTTCTTCCTGGTTCTTGCAGCTTTTGGCACGTAGACCTGGCCCCTGGGATGTAGACCTCGTTTTTCTTAAAACAGTCAGTGCTCGCCCTCCTGTTCAGTTTCTTGCCGTGGAGCGATAGGAAGCTATTTTCTTCTTCGCTTTTTAGGTTTGAGACCCCCTTTCCTCCCTGCGACGGAATGGAATATGTGTGCTAAGTCAGCCAGTCATGTCCGACTCTTTGCAACTACATAGACTATAGCCCGCCAGGCTCTTTATCCTTGGTATTTTCCAGGCAAGAATTATGGAGTGGGTTGCCATTTCCTACTCCGCTTAGAATGAAATAGATACCTGGTAAATTACTTACCCTGTTGTATGTTGCTGAAGCCACCAAACAGATTTTAGCCGCAGATGCTGAAGTTCCCACCCTACCCGGGGAGAGCCGTGTGTGAACCGAGATGATTAATAGCCGGTATCTAAAGTGGTTTTTCCTCCTGTTTCTTGTCTCTTCATTCGGCAGTGACAAATTTACCAGGCTTCAGCTTTACCTGTGAAATTAGTCTAGTATTGTGCCAAGCATTTAGAAATGCGTAGTACTACAACATATAATCTAGGTTCGTTAAAACTCACTGCAGTTTACTTCAGGGTATTGTGTATGGGAAAATTGGTATCAGTTTTCATTTTCTGTGTACAGCATACAGTTTTGAGTAAGTTTGATGATTTGATTGGATTATTATTTAGGGAGAATCAGCATGACATACTTTCTCTAATATTCCTGAGATCTCTGAGGAATTGTTCTGAGGATCTCAGATTGTTCTCTGAGATCTTTTATTTGAAATGCCTTTAGCTTTATTTCATCTGTTTTCTACTGCCACATATGGACTTATTTCTTGGGCGCACTACTCTGTGGTTACCAGTATCTTCTTGGACTGAACTGAAAAGATGCTCGGTAGACATGTGAATTCAGCTGAAGTGCACTTAACCTTTCTTGTGGTATCCGTTTTGAGGGATTCTTACCCCCTCACTTATGCTGTAAGCATCAGACATTCCAGGAGCTCATCAGTTTCATTTGTACAAAAAGCATGTACTGATAGTTGGGGTCATCAGAACTGTCTCTGACTATGGAACTAAGAATTTGAAATGTTACCTAATAGCAGTAAGACCTGTGAGCTTAGCCTGAGCAAATGGCCTGTTCTAAAATGGCTTATTTCTGAAAGAAAGAAGAGAAATTGTCATGTTTTTTAATCTCAGTCTTATATCAGATATGTAGAATATATATTGCTTAACTCCCAGTTAAACTTTTTCCAGATCACAAAGCTGGTAAGTGATTGAGGTTATTTCAACATTAGACCTTCATCTTTCGAAGACTCCATGTTGCCTCCAAATGAAGGAAAGAGCATTTTCAGATGCTCTCATTCCCTTAATATTTTGATGGGAATTTGGAGAAGTTCTGTTAGCTACTAGATGTCATTTTATACACATTCAAGGATATTATATACAGTTAAATTCCAGTGATGTGGAGGCTAACTGCCATTGTCATTTTAGGCTGCTACAGTAGTCTTTCCCAGCCAGGTATTTTTTATTTTCCAAAACAGAAGGTTCCTGAGAAGGAGTATTTTGGCAACCTGAAAGGACAAGTTCTTTGAAAGTCACTGTTAGTTTCAGCTTTCTTAAAGCTCTTTGGACCCATTTTCTCCATTGTCCTAATTATCCAAGAATTTTCACAAGTTCTAATCATTGAATGCCAAATATATCAAGTTTGCTTTCATATATTTATAAAATATTAACGTGTTCCCACAACTTCAGTGTCCCTGGAATACAACACTGAATAAGCTCAGACAACAGTGAAAGAATTCTCAATGCCATATCTTGGAATGTAAAAATGAAAGGAAGTAAAACTGAAAGCATTGTTAAGTCTGTGAAAGAATATGCTATCTATATTTAGAACCATGTTAAAAATGGATGTTAAGGATCACAGTCATTTCAAATTTAAGAGTTGTCAAATCTGTTAGTCAGTGAACATTAAGAGTAGGGAAAAGAATCATTATGAGATTGGTTACTTTTGACTTTTCAGAACATTGGTCAAATGAGTGTTGTGACGTCATGACAGGGAGCCTCCACTCACAGTCATCGTGGCAACGGGAGAACCGTCATCGCGTAGTTCTCTAATGATTTTTGGAAGAAATGATTCAACCTCTTTTTTGTTGGTTTTTAAATTTTTATTTATTTATTGTTGTGCTAGGGCATCCCTCATAGCTCAGTCGGTACAGAGTCTGCCTGCAGTACAAGAGACCCGGGTTCGATTCCTGGGTGGGGAAGGTCCCGTGGAGAAGGAAATGGCAACCCACTTCAGTATTCTTGCTAGGAGAGTCCCATGGACAGAGGAGCCTGGCAGGCAACGGTCTATGGGGTCGCAAGAGTCGGACACAGCTGAGCGACTAAGCGCACACACGGTTGGGTCTTCATCGCTGCTCGGGCTTTTCCCTGGTTGCGGCGGGCGGGGGCTGCCCTCTTATTACAGTGCGCGGGCTTCTCACCGTGGTGGTTTCTCTTGCTGCAGGGCGCAGGCTCGGGAGTTGTGCCATAGGAGCATAGTTGCTCCACCACACGTGGGACCTCCAGATCAGGAATCAAACCTGTGTCTCCTGCATTAGCAGCCAGATTCTTTACCACTGAGCCACCAGGGAAGCCCCAACCTCTTGTTTTTAACTCCAGAAGCTAAGATTTAAAAGAGCCTGCATTATGACTTTCGCAGCTTTGGGCCCAATTAGGAAGTCTAACTTGCAGATCCAGAGAAGGCTCCATTATTGAACTGTGTGTTGTGTACTGGCACTTACTTTCGATGACTTGATTTGGTGTAACTTGAAGACTTCTGTGTTCTAAGAGGAGCTAAGGCTCTGAGGCTCTAGCCTTCCTGTTCATTCTCCCAACTGTAATTCAGGAGCCATGCTGCTAAGGTTTTGACACTGCTTAAGTGCCCCAATTATATAGATGAGACTTTGTCATGAAACTAGTTCCTAGTCTGATTAAAATGCAAAGTTAAACCATTTTCATGTTTTAATTTGCATTTCCACTTCAAGTGTTTACTTCTGAGAATGAAATAAAATCATTTAAGTATTCTATTTGGTAGAATTCATGTGATTTTAAAGTATGAGAGGATCCATTTTCTTCAAGGTAGATTAAAAATTACAGTGATTTTTGTTGTCCTCAATTCACATTTCAGATTTTTAAGTAGTATTGCCTTTTGTTCATTACCTTCATGTGACTCTAGTATTTTAAAAATCTTATTTTACCTTTTGTTTTTGCTATAGTGTTAAGATTATATATTAATATGTTAATAGCAGTACTTCCAAATCTGTTACATCTGTTCAGTTAAATATGTTGATTAGTAGAAGTTTTAAGCTAAAAGGATGTTAAGGGTGTGTAATCCAGATTCCTTATTTTCTTGAGAGAAAGGGCTTCCAGTTTTGTGGACTGCATTCACATTTACCAGTAACACTTTGATAAAATATCATATTAGAATTGGTTTTGTTTTTTCTTTTTTTCCCTGCCTATCTGTATATAGGCTCTCCCTGCTATATCTTATTCTTTGTAATACTTCCACTTTAGGTCCTGTTTCCCTCTGATTTGGAAAGAGAGAGTCTTGTAATTATAAATTACATTCTAGCTCTGAGGAGCTCAGCTAAGAAATTTTCTCTTCATTAAGAATAGAAGGATTACTGCAGAATGACTACAGAAGTAATATTACATTATCGACCATATGAGAGTGATCCCACGCAACTGCCAAAAATTGCAGAGAAAGCAATTCAAGACTTTCCTACACGTCCGCTATTGAGATTTATTCCTTGGTTTCCACATGATGGGTCCAGACTTCCACTCAAACCTAAAAGATCACCACCTGGGATTTCTGAAGAGGCAGCTGAAGATGTGAGACAGTACTTAGCCATTTCAGAATGTAGTATTAAATCACAGAGTTATGATTGCACAGTAGATCTGTTGGAGTTTCAACCCAATTTGAAAAGAAAGAAGCACTTAATCCAATCATACACGCTGAATGAACAGACTAATTCTGGAAGTCTGGAGAAACAGGCAGAAAAAGAAAAACGGCACAAGAAAAGGTCTTGGAGTGTATCATCACTTCCCAGCAGTAATTGTACTGAAAATGTTTTTCCTTTGTCTAAAAAATTGCAAGATAATCTAAAGGCACTAAATTTGCACTCATTTTATAGAGCAAGATGGACAATAGATCACACTATTTGTAACAGCCA